CACACACAAACACACTGCACATGTGTGTGCATACATGCAGACCCATACCCAGACACATGTGACTGCATGCACACAGTCATGAAAGGCAGCAGGCCGAGGCCTCCGTTTTCCCTCATGGAGTACAAGCGATTGGGTAAGAGAGAAGGGTAATAATTTCTGTCCTCAGGGGTCATTGTACTAGTTTGCTGAATGTATTCAGCAAAGGCTCTGATTGTTATAACACTGCTCTGTGAACTGTCCCGAGTGACATGCCTAGCTTGACCCTGTGAAAAACTCATTTCTCAAAGTGTGAAGATTCCAAAATACCAGACTGCCTCACTCTAAAAGGTTGTCCTGCACTGAAATGTCTCTTTCAGAAAGATAGATGCTTTGGTCATCTCCCCTTCAGTATTTGCTTCAGCTTGTTCCTTTGTACATTTGCCCCGAGGTACCTATTCTATGTAGTTACATAATTTCTGTCCTCAGGGGTCATTGTACTAGTTTGGTTGAAAGGGCAGTTTGAACTAGTTCACCTAAAAAAAAAAAAAGACTTGAAAGCCCACTAGAGGTCTTCAGATCTTTTAGCAGGGCCCCTGGGGCTCCACACACAGGACAAACAGTGCAAGAAGCACTGAGTCAGACAGATGCTGGGTGACTCCTGAGGACAAGTGAGCTCATCTCTCTAACCTGCTGCTGCTCAATCATCTCTAAATGCCCAGGATTCAACGACTGTACGTGAGATACAACCATCATAGGACCTGGTTCGTAGCAGAACTCTGGGTATTAGTTCCTAGGTCCTGGGGCTGCTGCTAGTCCCTGCTCCCCTGAGGTCTAGCCTTAATGCCTGACACCCTATCCTTAGGAAGAGCCACACGGAAGGTCTGCGCAGCAGATGGGGCATAGAACATCAGCCTTTGGTGGGAAGCAGGCTGGGTGGTGCAGGGCCCAACAAGGGAGGTAGGAGGGTGGTTACTGCTGGGAAAGAAGAGAGAGAGTCCACACTTCTACTGAGTGCCCTCTGCACAGACAGGAGGTACTAGGGAATGTGATCCAGGCAGATGTTCCTCCAATGCCTACCTTCCAGGTGTTATTTTTCAGATGTGTCAGCAACCTGGGATCATGAAGACCAACAACTAGAAGTGTACTGAGATCAAGGCCAAGGTGTTCAACATCTGGGGAGTACCAGGAGTGAGAGGGTAGCCACAGAAAACCAGATGATTCCAGCCAGGATAATGAGGGTGGATGAGCTCTGCTCACAGAGGGCACTGAGAGGAGTGGGTTTAAGAAGGAGGGCTGCACCCCACCCTCTGGCAGACCCATCACTAGAAGCCATCTGGCCCACTGGTCTGAAGATGACAGAGGCTTGGGTTTGTACCCTGGAATTGTCAGCTACTTGCTGGGTGAACATGGGGCTGTTATTTAGTCTGCAGTCCTCTGAGTTCTCATGTATAAAATGGGGATGGTAACTAGTTTGCAGGGCTGCTATGAGGATCAGTGGCACCCAGGAATGTAGAGATGCATGCACACACAGACCAGGGCCACAGCATGTATTCAATAAACATTTGGTGTCATCCCCCTGCCTTTGCACTGGCCCAGATCCAAACTGTTCCAAAGAGACCTAGTGAATGAAATACTTGTAAAGTATACACACTACCATCAAGGAGCCTTGATGGAGCAACGGTTAAGTGTTCAGCTGCTAACCAAAGGGTCAGTGGTTCAAACTCAACCAGTGGCTCTGTGGGAGAAAAGATCTAGAGAACTGTTTCCACAAAGATTAGAGCCTAGGAAATCCTATGGGGCAGCTCCACTCTGTTGTACAGGGTCACTATGAGTTGAAATAGACTAGATGGCACCTAACAACACCACATGACCATCTTTAGTGGACTGCCAGAGGTTAGACCTACTTATTGCTCCCCTCTGGCTTACAAATAAAAACTCTCTTAGATCCTCAAAGAACAAGCTCCAAGCCAGGTGTACTGGTGCTGGGTGCAATGTCAGTGCCATTACTACATATCTATGACTCCACAACTACGTGGGTGAAGTCTGGTCATGTAGATTCTGAACTGCAGGGTGGGGGTAGGGGTGAGTCTCTTATAATAACCAACTGAAGGCTCCTGAAATGTTCAACGGAAACAGACCACATCACAGAAAGGTAGAGACAGACTTTGCTGTTGTGAGCAAGCTCATCTCTGGAACAAACATCAACAGAGCATTGCTACACTGGTGAGTCACTTGTCTTCCTCTTTATATTTAATAAAGCACTAACTCCTTCTGGGATTCTCAGATTCCTGCCTGCACCACAGCCTGGTGGTAGAATGCCCAGGCTCTAGAGTGAATTGCTGTTAGTTCAAATCCCATCTCTGCCACTTGCTCCTGTGACAGTTATTAGAGAAATGTGAAAACTACTTAGCATAGTTCTGGCACAAAATAAGTGCTTGTGAGCTGATGCTACTACCAGTAATAGCACAACCAGACCCACTCGGCGAGATGAGGAGTCCAGCCACTGCTTGTATTTGTTCACTGAATAATCACTTTGTGTTTTTCTTTCCTTTTGTTTCTTTTGCATTTTGTAAGACAATCTACTATTTCAGATTACTTTTTTTCTGAATACATTAGACAAATGTAGAAACTCTGGAAATGATATAAAAATATAAAGCAGGAAGGGGAAAGTCATCCATAATTTTACTAGTCAGAGGTGAATTGCTGGTAAAAATTGATCATTTTTCTATGTTTTTAAAAGTATGGACAAAACCACACAGCTTATCAGGGGTTTTTAAAGAAGGGTCCATAGACCACAGGCAAAGGAATTCATGAAGCCCCCAGAATTGCAGGTGTGTGTGTGTGCACAAGTGTGTATGTGCGTGTGCATGCATTATTTCTGCAGGAAAGGATCACAGGTGTTATGAGATTCTCTAAGGAGTTTATGATAAAAAGGATTAAGAATCATGATCAGTTTTACATCCTTTTTGTATCTGTCCTTGTATCATAATAGTTAATATGTATTTTGCATATTTACTTTGTGCTTGCACTGTCCTTGGCAATTTAAATATATTAATTTAAATTTATATTCAAATTTAAGTAATTTTCCCAAATCATTAAAAGCTCTTCATAAATATCTCAGTCATGTTCTATTTTATGTCTGAATTATAATTTTCTTCATTATTTATTATCAGATATTTAGACTATTTCCAATGTTGTTCATATTACCTTTTTTTCCAAAAATCAACTACGGCGCATAGGACTTTGGTTACAGAAGATAAAGAAACAGCTTTTAACATTTTCTAGAAGGGAAGAAATTTTTAACTACATCCTCTATCTGCACAGAGCTATGTAGTCTTAATCTGCTATTAAGATAATATCAAATTTTACTAATTATTCCAAATGAATTTTCATGAGTCCTTTGAGGAAATGTGTAATGCTAGTGTGTATAAGGGTCTAGCAGCAGCCAGAACAGATTTTTTTTTTTTTTTTTTTACACAGTGCATCAACCAGTGATTGTGAGTTGGACATCACTCTTAAGAAAAGCAAGCTCCTGTTTCACATTCTAAATGATGGAGAAAGTATTTTTGTCTCAGTGTAAAGCAATACACATACACAGAATCACTTCACTTACTTAATCTAGCACTCCAGAAAGCCAGCTGGGGCACTATGCCTACTGGCTGACCTGCCCACTTAAGAGATTGAACATTTTGTGATAAAGGGGTAGGGACTATTTATTGAGTGGTTGTCCAGCAAGGTCCTTCTTTGCTGGAAAGGAAGGGCATTTTGACTCCAGGACAGACCATGACAGGTAGCACCAGGGCTGACATTGTTTTCAGCCAGGACTCAAAGTCAGGAAAAGAAAAGTACCTGAGTGGAGTAGAAGGATCCAGGCAAGAAAGGTAGCCATTTGGTCTTTGCTTATAAGCCTCAGTGCCCATATTTGTTCATTGAATACTTCTTGTGTTTTCTCTCCTTTTGCATTTCATAAGGCAATCTATTATTTCAGATTATTGTTTACTTTCTATTCTGAATGTAACAGACTACTGTAGAAAATCTGGAAACTATATAAAAATATGAAGCAGGAGGGAGGACAGTCATCCATAATTCTACCAGTCAGGGGTGAACTGCTGATAAAATCGGATCATTTTTTTCTCTGTTTTTAAAAGTACAGACAAAATCATACAGCTGGCCACTTGCATCACTGACACAGCCAACTCATCTGGCATCCCATTTCAACTGGACCTTCCATTTGTTAAAGTAGACCTGTACACAGTGCATCATAAAAGCTAAAGCGATGCCCCGCCTTATAAGAAAATCTATTTCTTAACAGATTCCTGAAGATAAAGTTGTCTCGCGGAAAAAGAGTCATGAAGCTGGCTCAGCCACTGTGCCAGGCAGCCATGGGCTTTTGTCTGCTTTGTTTAATCTATGCAAGTTGCCTCTATCAGTTGCCTTTTTGAGTCTATGCACCTGAAGGGAAGAAAGGCAAGATGCACCATTCCACCCAAATAAAGAAGCCTGGTCATTCCCCAAAAACCTCTCAGTTTCCTGGAGTCTCTGTAACAGTAAACCCCCCTGGGAAGAGTGCTTGCTTTCACTGTTAGCAGTTCAGGGGTCTAATGTTACAGAAAATGAAGCACAGGACGGGTGGTCAACTGCTATGATACCCAGGGAGATGATGACAGGCCCTCCCCATTAAAGGGCAGCGCTGCTCTTCCAAAAGGAGCCCATGTTGCTATTTAACCAGATGGAAACCTTTGTTTTTGAAACAAATTGGCATGGGGTTTTATGGCATGTGCATTGGTGAAGGGTCAGTTATGTGGGGTCTTCTAGATCAGTGGTCCTGAGAATCTTAGGGCTAATGATTCCCATTAATGTCCTGTCTAATTTCCCCCATCTCCAGTGGTCTGGGCTAGGTTTTTGTCAGTACAACAAATGATGTCCACCATTTAAATCTGGTGAATAGGACAGTAGGAAGAACAGGAATGCCATCCTCAGTCCCAAATATTAATCCCTTGCATTTTGACTTACAGGTGTTCATCAACATAGACACCATGGCAGAGTATGAGTACAAAGATCCTGGGTTTTTCAGCACTCCCACTGACAGCAGACAGGAACATAATCACTTCCTGCAGTTCAGCAAGTTCTTCCTGCCCTGCATATACATTGTGGTGTTCGTCTGTGGCCTGGTAGGGAACTCCCTTGTGCTGGTCATATACATCTTCTACCAGAAGCTGAAGAGCATAACAGACCTGTTCTTGATGAACCTACCCCTGGCTGACCTGGTGTTTGTGTGCACTCTGCCCTTCTGGGCCTATGCAAGCATCCATGAGTGGGTCTTTGGCAAACCGATGTGCAAAATCCTCCTGGGCATCTACACTTTGAACTTCTACACGTCCATGCTCATCCTTACCTGCATCACTGTGGATCGTTTCATTGCAGTGGTTCAGGCCACCAAGGCCCACAACCAGCAGGCCAAGTGGATGATCTGGGGCAAGGTCATCTGCCTGTTCATCTGGATAATCTCCCTGGTGGTTTCCTTGCCACAGATCATCTATGGAAATGTCTTTTCTCGTGACAAGATCGTCTGTGGTTATAATGATGAGAAAATTTCCACCGTGGTCCTTGCTGTCCAGATGACACTGGGGTTCTTCCTGCCACTGTTTGCCATGATTGTCTGCTACTCAGTCATAATCAAGACCCTGCTTCATGCCCGCAGCTTCCAGAAGCATAAGTCTCTAAAGATCATTTTCCTGGTGGTGGCTGTCTTCCTGCTGACCCAGATGCCCTTTAACCTTGTGAAGCTCATCCTCAGCACGAGCTGGGAGTACCATGCCATGACCAGCTTTCACTATGTTGTCATAGTGACAGAGGCCATTGCATACCTGCGGGCCTGCCTTAACCCTGTGCTCTATGCCTTTGTTGGCCTGAAGTTTCGAAAGAACTTCTGGAAACTTGTGAAGGACATTGGCTGCCTCCCTTACTTGGGGGTCTCAAGTCAATGGAAGTCTCCTGAGGACTCTTCCAAGATTAGTTCTGCCTCTCACAATGTGGAGGCCACCAGTATGTTCCAACTGTAGGCCATGCCAGGGCTTGGAGAAAATGCTCAGGAATTTACAAGAGAATGGCTGGGCCCTCTGTATGAGCTGAGACAGGCTTTGTTTATAGCTGTGCACTCTCATGGTGGTAATCAAAAACTGTAGCTTGTTTAGTATGTTTCTTTGAAGGCATGGACATATTCTGGTCTCTTCTTGAACACCTAGGCCTAAAGCTTATAAGGACTTTCCTTCTTTCATCCCCATGAATACTGACACCAAGGAGGTGAACACATGACTCTTAAAATCCCAGGTTCTCCTTCACTGGGGCTAGGACTGAAGGTTAAAGAGGGCAGCAGAGTTAACAAAATGTTTGTTGACTGACAGTGACATTCTGGGCTCCAAAGTTCAGAAGATTTTTCTGGCTACTAAGCAAGCAGAGATTAGAGCAGCCATGAAAACAGCACTGACCCATACAGCTCTGATCTCAATTAGCAGGCACCTAATAACAGTGAGATCAGGTCTTATCTCACCATGGGGTGTGACTTTTACATAGGGAGATGTTTATGCTTTCTTTGTTTACTCCTGGAAGCACTAGCATTGGGGAATGTGAATGAGACAAAGCAAATTAGAGTTTACTGAGCATTCCAGTGGTCCATGGAATTCTTGAAAAATGTGCAAAGCAGAGTTTACAACTATCAAGAACCTAAGCATTTCTGAAAGGGACTCTTTGGCAGGTCTGTTCACTTAAAAATGGAATTACCCAATGCTTGCCACACACACACACACACACAAACACACATATGTATATATATACATACATTAAATGGCATATGGTTTTCATGACTAAGAAATAAAATGTTTTTAAAGTCTCCAAAATACTTTTATTCTTATTTTGTTATGCTTAGAATACACCAAAAAATGGTTTCCTGTGAGTTTAGAGCATAGGAAATGAATTAAAATTGTAAACTTTCAGGGCACTGTTTGTTCTATCAAGGAAATGAAATATACCAGTGGTAACGACCCAGCTCCTTCACTGTGGCTTCCAACCTCCTATCCAAAATGTGAAGCGAATTTGCTTGTGACCTATAATATGATCACAGGATGTGGCATAGTTTTAAATGTCACTTTCATACATATTTATTAGATCCTGGCATTCTGCCCATTCAGTAGTAGGCTTAAAGATGACTGTTGGGCTCTTGCATCACAAAATCACTTATGAAATGGGGAGAATTAAGGAACAACAGCTAAATAGAGTGCTCAGGAGGTGTAGTGGTTAAGGCATTTGGCTGCTAACCATAAGGTTGGTGGTTTGAACCAGCCCACCAGCTGCTCTGTGGAAGAAAGATGGGATGGTCTGCTTCTGTAAAGATTTACAGCTTTGGAAAACCAACGGGGGTCACTATGAGTCAGAATCGACTTGATGACAGTGAGTTTGGTTTGAAATAGAGTACACAAGGAGACGAGCCAGAATTGGCTTTGTTGTTGTTGTTGTTATTTGCCGTCGAGTCAGCCCCGACTCATAGCGACCCCTCCTTGGGTTTCCGAGGCAGTATCACTATGGAAGTAGATTGCCCAATCTTCCTTCTGAGGAGTGGCTGGTGGGTTTGAACCACCAGCCTTCTGGTTAGCAGTCAAGTGCCTTAGGCACTGTGCTACTGTTAGAATTGGCTTAGCAGTGGGCTTTTGGGGCTTGGACAGACCAGAATTGAATCCCAGCTCTGCCACTAACCAGTTGGTAAGACTTTGGGCAAATCTTTCAGCCTCTGACCACCTGTTTCTTTTCTTTTTGGTGAAACATGATCATAACAGCACCCACCTCTCAGGGTTGGTGTGAAGATGACTTGAGATAATACTTGCACAGAAGTTTGCATTTGTAGGTAGAAGAGTTCCAAAAAAGTGGCAATGATTTTTATTACTACTTTTAAGAGCAAGTAATACAGAATGGAAAGCCGTCATCTCATTCCCTGTTGGTCAGTGATGGGAGGGAGGGTTGGCTCCATGCCTTCTGAGGCATGTAGCCTGGTCCAGCTGGGCACAGGGAGGGCCTTGCAGGGCCCACCCAATCCTGCCTACTGTATCATCAATGTCCCTGAAAGCATCCACGAGGAGAGCTCCTTTATGGCATTTGAGCCATATGGTCCACCAAGAGCTTCCTCATACAAAATCTGCCCTTTTCCTGGGGACAAGACTGGCATTTATCTTATTTTAATTGGTGTTGGAGGGGAAATTTCTGTCATCCTACCGTTGTAGATTCATCTTAACGTTGAGCACTTCTGATGGCAAGGCCACCAGTTCCTGGCTTCCCTGAGAGCATCCCAACCCATGAGGCAGAGGCCCTACCTGGGGAAGGAAGAAGCCAAGAGTCGGGGAGACCGGACCTTATGGCATTTACACATGTGGCTGATGGCTAGAGCTTCCAGTGGAGGGAAGCAGTGTAGTATAATGAGAAAGCAGAGCTCTGGAGTCAGTCAGACACTGGGTCAATGACATCTCCATTTCTGTGTGTCTTTGAACAAGTTACTCAGTCCCCTAAAACCTCCTTTTCACTGTCCATACCACTGGCTAATGACAGCCTCCTCCCAGGGTGAGGAATGGACAGTGCACACCAAGAGCCCAGGTTGGGACCAGTTTGGCTATGGCAATGGAGAGGCAGCTGCTGGAACTACTAGGTTTTCCCTTACCGGGTGCCTACCTGGCTAAAGAAATCAAAGGAGACTCAGATGTTTGTTGGGGTATGCCCCACCTCAGGCCTATTTTGCGTGCTCTCCAGGCTCCTATGAGCCTTTGCCTTGGCTCTTCCACAGCTTAGGAAAGCCCTGCCTGCTCACCCCCAGGAACAGCACAGCAGCAGAATATTTCTTTGCCTCCACCACTGTGCTTGGTCACTCACTGGTCCCACATTCCCTAGGCCCCAAACTGCTACACTCAAGTATAGATGTATCATTTTTCCAATACCCACCCCCCCCAGGTATACATCATTACTGGCAATAAACACTGGTACAGCGCCGTACAAGTTACAGAGAGCTTTTGTGGTCCTGACCTTATTCAATCCACACCAACAGCTCCATAAAGTAGGAGACAGTGTTTTCAAAGTCTCCATTCTATGGTGATGGAACTGAAGTAAGGTGCGGGATAGAGTCAGGTCTTATCCTCAGACCTGTTTTTCTCTTCCCCTTCATTCTCCTTTCTGTTCACACACATCAGTGCATGACAAGAAAGGCCTGGGGGATGGACAGAGGTCCAGGGAGGACCAGAGGACGGAAGACACAGGCCGGCTGTGAGTCTGGGTTGAGTCCAGATGGCCTGGGGCATGACCTCAAGGTCTGAGGGGAAGAACATGCTCCTACCCCACCATGTTACCAACAGAAATACAGTGGATGCCACAGATAGTCACATCATATGACATATGGTGAGCACAGGGAGACACTGATCAGGGGCTACCTGGGAGTGAAAAGCCCAGATGTTCTCAGTGGGAATTCTGGACTGCAGAGATCAGTCCACAAGAGAGAAAAGCCTAAAGCTACTATTACTGGAGGGGTAGAGGGGGAGCAAAAGGTCACTGCAGCCTTCCCCTGCAGGGGGCTGTCAGGGCATTACCCCTTCCAGGTACCTAGTCCTTCATGGTACATGGTAAACTCACAGTGCTATTTTGAAGGAGGGATGGCTTTATTGTCCATATTTTCAGGTGAAGAAACTAGTTCAGAGAGATTAATATCTGAAGAGCTAGTGCTTACCACCCCAGTGAACCACAAATGTTGGCTACAGAGAGGTTTCATGCAGCCAACGGGCCACTGCCAACTCTGTGGACCAACCCAAGCACAAGGTGGCTTTCTAGCCTTAACCATTCTAACCATATCCTGTTCTCATTTTGTTTCTGAGACATGAGATGTCAATCTCCTGGCTGGTGACAAATCACCCACAGGTGATCACCACAAGTGACAGCACTCTGTCCATGAAACAACAGTTTTGATGCAATTACTGGTAAAGAATGCTTTGTGGACTCAGGAAAAGGCTCTGTGGGTAAGTTTAAGGTCACTTAGTACCATTCAGACACCTGGGGTGATTCTTCCTTGAGAAGCCTATTGGGGGATCAGATGCAAGTATGGAGCACACAGCAGTAGATATGTGTGACTTGGCTGCCTGGCATTACAACTCAAACTCGGGGTCAAATCATTGTGAAAACAAAGCCCCTCCATGGAACATTTCCCAGGTGCCGGGTGCTGGGTTCAGTGTGTTGGTTCACATCATTCTTGTTTAATCTCCTAACAACCCTAGCCAGGTACGGGTGAGGGAACTGAGTTCAGGGAGGCTGCATTACCCAAAGCCATGAAACCCAGATGTGGAAGACAACAGATTTGCACCCTCATGTCTGTCCTGGAGCACAAGTTCTTTGCCACCATGTTGTTGTTGTTGTTATTTGCCGTCGAGTTGGCCCCGACTCATAGCGACCCCTCCTTGGGTTTCCGAGGCAGTTATCACTACGGAAGTAGGATTGCCCAACCTTCCTTCCGAGGAGTGGCTGGTGGGTTTGAACCGCCAACCTCCTGGTTAGCAGTCAAGTGCCTTAGGCACTATGCTACCAGAGCTCCTTTTGCCACCATATAGGCTGCTTATTACGTAACCAGAGAGGGAGAGCAGACCTCACAGAGGCCATGCTCATGTGGAGGCTGAGCAGAGGCTAAAGGAACAAAGGCCCAGTGACTCTCCCAGCTCCTGCCCTATCTCTTGGCTTGATTCACCAACTGACAAGAGTTTGGATTCCTTCTCTGTCTGGCACCTCAGTTTAGAGAACAGAGGGCCAATGGAGATGACTGAGTGTAGGCTTGGATAAATGAGAGAGGGTGTGTGTGGGTGTATCTGAAGGATTCTGAAGAAGATTATTTTTTTACCAGAGGTGACAGGTTGTGTTCCACTGCCACCATTATGGCTGTGAGCCATGCCCTGGGGGCCAAAAGGAGGTCTACTTAGGGAGTCTGTAACATCCTGCCAGGTCTTCCTGTGAGGCTGGACTTTGGGACCTCTTCCTGTCTCATGACTTCCTGGAAGGGCAAGGCAAGCAACTTCCTCATCCCTTAGAATGTGTGTGTGCTTGGTGGAAGTGGACCTAGGGCACAGCAAGGGAAGTAGATTTCTGATGGTCACATGAGGAAATGGAGACCTGGGGAAGAGAGCTGAACTCTTCAAAATCTCAAACCTGTGGACTGGAGGGAGCAGGGCTGGGTTCAAAGCTGAGTCTGACACAGGCACATAACCTGAGGCTTCAGTTTCTTTACCTGTAAACTAGGGATAATAATCCCTACTCCTTTAAGGGTTGTAAGGGGACTAAGTGAGGTCATGTGTAAAAGTAACTGGTATGGAGAAGGTGCTCAGCAAGTTTCTTTTAACAATACTACTTCCAAGCATTCTTACTGGATTTGGACTTAAATGGTGTTTAATCCCTCTTAGATCATGTCTTGTCTTAGATTTGCCACTTTTTCTCCAAGTTTCTTATCAGGGATGCTTTTATAAATCCAAGGCTCTCTACCTCCCATACTTTCTTAGACTCCTGGCTTTTTGGATTGGGTCTTAAAATTAGGAAGGAAAAAGCAATATAAGAAAAAGCTACCAGAGATGTTTGGGTTTATCTCTAGCTAAGGCACAAAGATGTCGGATAATGAAAGCCTAACAGATTTGGAGGTCTGCTCTTCACCCAAATAGACGAAGCTCAGGGGACTGCGGGTTTCCATTCGTCAGTCCCACATCCACCTTGGAGCCTGTGGGTCTACATACTGGCAGTTTCCTTTCCCTGGAATGGTTCCCTATTCCCCGTGGCTGAAAACACATTTTGTGTCAGCAGGTGGAGAGCCTTCTGTTTTTGTTCCTACTGGGAAAGGGAAGAGGGAGGCGAGGGCTGAGGGAGTGAGAGGGTGCTACACAGTGGTCATCTTCTCACACAGGCTAAAGGAGGAGGCTAGAAGGTGGTGAGACACGTCCTAACCAAGGGCTGTCCTCCCAGGCCTGAGGCTCCCAGTCCTCTCACCTGACCACCTACTACCTAACCTGGAGTTGAGTCCAGGTCAGTGAGGAGTTGCTAGTTGTGTAAAGGCAGAGTACACTTAGTGCTAATGAAGCAGAATATGCTCAAGGACCACTGGGGAAAATGCTGCAGGCCCACAGGGCCAGAAAGGGCTTCAGAGGAGGGCATTCCACGAAGGGATAGGAAATGCTCAGAAACAACAGAGAACAGGGCTGGGTGGCTAGGCTGTCTTTATCCATGAGGCTACAACAAAGTGGGTTTAGTTACGTTTTAGTCAGAGATCTGAGGGGTGTGGAGAGATACATTTTGGCCTAAAGTCTCCTATGCTGATAGCCACATGAAGATTAAACCCATCTCTCACACAGCAGAAATCCTGTGTACCATTACTGACAGACCAATCCTGGCCCTACTCTGAATCCTAGGCAGAAGATCTCAACTTGAGTTAGCAGGAGCATCACAAAACTCCCAAACCGGAGTGAAAGTGGCTGAAAGCAATGTCTGGGACCTGAGAGCCACATTGATTCTTCTTTGAGCTTCTGAACAGCCAAGGCTGTGCTGTAGAAACTGCTGAGAAACACCAGTTTATTTTGTATTTTTTAAAAAAGTGGCCTTAGCAAACTCTCCTCAAAAACCTTGTTGGAAAATAAATACAAGAGAACAACGAGAAAGCCAAGGGAGGATAAGTACTAAAGGATGCCTTATTGCCGATGCTGTCGATTCACATAGCAGTCAGTGGGTCAGGGTCATGACTGAGCATAGTATCACAACACGGCTGGGGCACTGTGCTGGGTGAGTGGAAAGTCCCTTGGGTTTGGCAGAGTGCAGGGTAACAGATGTGCCTATGTTATTACTGCTTTTAGAACTTTGGGGCTTTGGGAGGGCTTATTTGGAGCTATGGTGAATTCTTACAGAACACACACATCTGCCTGAGGCCACTGGACCTGAATCCAAACTTGGTATCATTACTATACCTGCTTGGTGGTTCCCAAAGTTGAACACCATTTTTAAAGAACAGCATGTTGCTCTGAGCATGGTCAAGGACAGCACACCAAGGATTGTGCAAGCCTGGGAAGACAGGCCTTCCTGGGGATGCTGCAGTCAGGGAGACAGCTGACATGTCCCAGGAACATACTAACAAGGATCAGCACTGACCATACACATGAGGCTCCCAAGCCTTGGGGCTCTTCACAGGGCCAGCCTGTCCCAAAGACTACTCTGAGGTACTGTTCCTTAAGCAAGCACAGCCAAGCCTGCAACCAAAGTCTCACCTTCCTGGTCCTTTGATAAGAAAGTACAAAGGCTAGGCACTTAATTAGCACTCAGGAATGGAGGTGATGTCTACTCACTGTTCAGCAATGTTTGGGTCAAGAGAATCAGTTTCGGTGGGTGTTTCAGGCAAGGAGGAGCCGGACTCCTGAATCTGACACAATTCCTCATCCGTGATGATGTCAAACACAGCGTCATCTGGCGGCCTGCAGTCTGTGTTGGCATGTGGGCCACATAGGGGATCAGGAGAAAAGAGACACATTCATTATTATGCATGAGATGGGTAGCAATGAAAATGAGAGATGGGTAGCAACGAAAGTGAGGGAGTGCAGCAATGCAGAGGAACCCACTGAGACACATGTTAAATGCTCATTCAGCTGACAGCTATTCTGTCCAGATGTGAGAGAAATGGCTGTGGGACATTCCAGAAAAGCAGAAGAGAGGGCCACAGATGAAACTGAATGCACAACTTAAAAGACTTCTCAAAGTCAGGGGTTTGGAGAGGTATAAACTTGTTACACGTTCTCTAAGGTCCTTTACTTAGAAGGAAAGAACCTAACAAAAAAGAAAATATAGTTAGTGCCACAGACGTTTTGCTCCATAAGACACAGGCAATACTTATTCACGCCTCTTTGAAAGCAGAATTCCATCTGACCTGCATTTCACCTTCCTCTGCTCAAGGACTTGTACCTAGCATCATGCTCTGACCAGGGGACTAGCACCTGACTTTCCAGACCACTCAGCCAAAAAAAAAAAAAAAAACCTCACTGCCGTCAAGTCAGATCCAACTCATAGTGACCCCTTCCTTGGGTTTCCTAGGCAGTATCACAGGAGGACATATTATATGAGTGCTCCTGTGCAGTCACTATCTATAAGTGGGCTCTTGCACATACATGGAAAATATGATGGCAGGTCAGAGGGAAACCAAACAAGTGAAGGAAATGAGGCAGGAAACACCAGAAATCAAAATAAGTGGCTTTGGTATGGTGCCAACCTCTATCATTGCTGGAACATCCACCAATGAGTCAGGGTGAAGGGTCCTTGGCTGCTTAACAAGAACAGTCCATGTGAGCTACAAGTCCCTAGATGGCTGGCTGTGCTACATGATTTTTGGGACAGGTTATGTTTTAGAAGGAATGTTCTTCCTCCTGTCTGAAGTCTCCATAATGGAGAGCTTGAGGAACTAGCTGGAAAGGGGGCCAGGGATTGGTTTCTTTCTATGGACTCAGCCACACTCCTGAATCTGCCTTCTGAGGCTGTCTAAGGGAAGAAACAAGGAAAAGGAAGGAAGGGAAGTGGATAAAAGGGATTTAAAATGATGTCCACTGAGAGAAATAAAAGATGGCCCAAATAAATGGAGAGATATACTATATTCATGGATTAGAACACTTGATATTGTTAAGAGGTCAATTCTGCCCTAACTGATCTAGAGATTCAATGCAATCACAATCAAAATATCACCGGGATTTTTTGTAGAAACTGACAAACTGATCCAAAATTTATATGTAAAAGGAATGTCCCAGAATAGCCAACACCTTGAAAAAGAACAAAATTGGAGGACTCACTCCACCTGATTTTAAGACTTCCTATAAAACTATGGTAATCAGAAGAGTGTGGTGTGGGCAAAAGATATAGGTATGTAGATAAAAATAGAATTAAATAGAGTCCAGATATAAATGCACTCGTATGAAGTACACTTACTTTTGACAAAGGTGCAAAAGCAATTCATTGGAAAAAGAATACTTTTCAACCAATGGTGTTAGAACAACTGGATAACCATATGGGAAAAAACGAATCTCTACTCATATTTTGCATTATGTACAAAAAATAACTCAAAATGGATCGTAGACCTAAATGTATAACCTTAACCTAAAACTATGAAACTTCGAGGAGAAAATGGATCTTTGAGTTTTTAGGTTAGGCAAGGATAGATATGACACCAAAAGAAATGAAAAAAATTGATCTGTAAGAGAAAAAATTGATAAATTGGACTTCATCAAAATTATACACTTCTGTTCTTCAAAAGATACTTCTGCTCTTTAGGGAAAAAAACAAAAACAAAAAACAGGAAAAGAGAAGCAATTAATTCAGAGAAAATATGTGTAAAACACATATCTTTAACAAACTTGTATCCAGAATATATGAATAGTTTCAAAACTCAGTAATAAGAAAAAAAAACATTAAAAAATGGACAGAAGACTTGAAGATATTGGGATGGCAAACAAGCACAAAATGCTGTGCAAAGTACGTCCCTTACCCCAAGCAGTTCTTTGTACCTGCTAAAAATAGTGGTGTCTCTCAACCTACCTGATGATCCAATTAAGCAAAATAGGTACTAATAGTATTTCTAAGAAGCTGTCTGTCATAGATCTAGGCAGAGGCCAAGGAGGAGTCTTTGGGGACCAGCTTACAGAGGCAGAGATGAGACTCATTTCTACCCTTGCCACCTCAGCTCTGCCCTCCTGGCCCTCTGCCTCTCTACATCTGACTGGGCAGCCTGGGTTGATCTGCTAGACTGTGCTCAGAGAAGAAGCAGCACATATGAAACCCTGCTTCTTTTTGTTGGGCCAAGTGGAAGAGCACACAAGAGAGTACATCCTCCTTGGCAACTAAGGGAGACTGTGAGCTGCAGGGAGAGAGTGGAGAACATTCCAGACACAACTTCTGGATTTTGGTTCCTCTAACAGAGAGATAAGGAGCTCTGGCAGTATAGTGCCTAAGGCGCTTGACTGCTAACCAGAAGGCTGGCAGTTCAAACCTACTAGCCACTCCTTAGAAGGAAGACTGGGCAATCTACTTCTGTAGAGATACTGCCTCAGAAACCCAAGGAGGGGTCGCTATGAGTCAGGTCCGACTCCACAGCACTTAACAACAACAAGAGAGAGGGTTGGATACCAGGGCTGAGATTCTGGTAGACAGCATTTTCCAAAGTATAGGGTGCATTCCAGTGGTGGTATGTGAGTTAAGATGTACATAGATTTCAAGTTAAATAACACTGAATCATATCATGAGAAAATTATTCCTTTTTCAATCCTAATTATATCAAATAGAAAGTCTCAAGTTGTTGCTAACATATTTTTAACACCCCTTTAGTGTCCAAGTTTGGAAAACAATGAATTAAGCTAACTAGCTACGAGGAAGTGAGAAAGTAGCATCCAGAAAACATTATGTGTAGCTGCAGAAGTCTGACCTTGGCTTCTGGTGGCCTGGTGCCCAGCCTGCCCTGGTGGCAGTGCAAGGCTGGGCTCTCCCTGGCTGTTGCCCGAGCTGGTACTGTCAGGGGAGCCAGGGCCCTCACTGAGCTTGCGGAAGCAGGCCCGGCAGCAGCGCTCCTTCTTGCCACTGTGCTTGGTCAGGACATAGTTGTTGCAGCAGTAGTAACAGAAGATGCGGCCACATATCCTGGGAACAAAACAAACACAGGCCATGAGGTGATGCACGGTGGGTCTTGGGTGCTGTTACCAGGATGGAGCTAGCTCTGTATTGGGCTCTGGATGTCACATGGTTCTCGCCAGACCTGGCTTTGCCCACTGTAGAATGTGGCCTTAAGGCTTATTTAGAAAGATTCCAATAAAGTCATCTTGGTAAGATTAGTAGGAGAATGTTGTTTCCTAAGGTCCGTGGAGGAAGGAAGTATGTGGTTGAGTCCACCTTCCCTGACACAAAGATGTAGGTAGCTCTTGCATGCTGCCAGCTAAGGGTTTCAGAGGAAACCACAACCTTCACAGCCCTGTGCTGACCAGTTCCCATTTGTGTCTACTTCCAAACCAAGATTCACTTTTGTGTACTCTCCTCTGGGCCCCAGTAGGGCCTTTGCTCTGCCTGTGTTCCTCCAATGAAGCCTCAGCTCTAGCTCTCACAGGGTTCCAGTAACGCTGTTTCTCTTCTGGTTCCTTCAGGCTGAAAGATGAACGAAGGGTTTCTGGTCTCTGCATGCCACATAACCTTTGTGGGTCCCCTCAGCCTTGCCCATACCTCTTTATTAAACTCCCAAGCATACCCTTTCAGAGCCCTTTGTGTCCTAAGACCCTGACTTGTATGGTCTTCTTGTCTGTTCCCTTAAAACCAAAAACCAGTGTGCATTTCCCAGGCAGTTGGCTGGGGTATCAACACCTATCCCAATTCCTCCTTTAGACCCATTTGCAGATTACAGAGCCTGTAGGGTGTCAGGTGGCCCCGTGAGCTGCCTGCCGACCTGCAGTGGTGCCGCCGCACCATCCAGCTGAACTCCCGCTTGCAGTCAAGGCAGTGGCTCGCCTCAGTATCCCCAAGCCACCTCTCCTCAGCACTGAGCTTCTGTTGGAATTCCAGCGCATCTGACTTCTGCCAGAGAGCATCCTTGTCCCTGGGACAAAATCACATTAGAAAGAAAGAAGAAAGAATTTGTGAAAATAATAGAACTCCCCCTGATTCATTTCAAAAGACTGATTACAAATTTCCCAACTCACAGAAGGAAAATTCACTTTTACCTTAGAAACACCTCCCATCCTAGATCCTATGACCCCTCACAACACCCCCAGACTTAGCCAAGTCCTCCCAATCTGCATGTGATTTGCTGAGTATCTGCAGGGCCCAGTGAATGAAGAGATGAGGTATGTAATGTACATAAAGGGCTCCGTCAACTGTAAGGAGCTTCTACCAGTGATAAGGATCACTAAATAACAATGCATATTATCAGTAAGTTTGAGCTGTAATGTGCCATCATGAAATCTGCATGCTGTAAGCCCAAGGACCACACATGTTCACCCCCATCCAAATCTTACGTGTCTTTGGGGCCCATAGTATTTTGAGGGTTTGATCTAGTAATAACTAATCATTGGGGAAGATCAAAGATTTCTCAGCCTGGAAATCTGACCAGATGTCAATCTTAGATGGTAAGCCCACTCTAGGAAGCCAGAGTGAGAGGCATGAAGCTTTTCAAAAGGACCTGACAGTGCCTGAATATGCCTGATCCACTGGGGATGATGTACAGAGGCTTCCTAGCACTGCTAATGGTCATTTTGGGGCCTTGTTTTCTGACATGGAAAGGTCTGGTTCTTTCCTGTATGGAACCCCAGCCAGCATGCTCTGAGCATTGATGTGGATCTAGCAGCATGCCATACCAGCCACTGATGATATAGCACTAGAGCTACTTAAGTCCTGGGAAAACTGGCTCCATCACTGGCTAGGGACTTTAAATCAACCAAAGACCTTTCCCTTTAAGTAAAAAAGCCAAAACATGGATGGATTGATTGGCTCTTCCAAGGACACTTAAAGTTGTCAAGTTGGTCCATAGCTTCTGTCCTTTCTGCCCCAGAAAGTCAGGTGCCCATACTCTGGGAATGTGGGAATGCTCATAGCACCTAGGGTTTTCCTCATACCCACAGGAGGAGGTCTGAGCTGAGAGGTCACAAGTGCCCTAAGTGCCAGGTTTGTAAATTGATGACATGCAAGCAGAGTTTTTAAACTGCCAAATTAGATATAATTTTGATATCACCATTTTGTAACCTCTAATGAATTAGTAAGAAGCTCTGGTAGCATAGTGCCTAAGGCACTTGACTGCTAACCAGAAGGCTGGTGGTTCAAACCCACCAGCCACTCCTCGGAAGGAAGATGGGGCAATCTACTTCTGCAGTGATACTTCCTGGGAAACCCAAGGAGGGGTCGCTATGAGTCGGGCCCAACTCGACAGCACATAACAACAACAACAATGAATTAGAAAAGGAGCTCTGGTGGTGTAGTAGTTAAGACACCTGACTGCTAATCAAAACATCGCTGGTTTGAACCAGCTGCTCCACAGAAGAGTGATGGGCAATCTGCTTCCATAAAGATTTACAGCCTTGGAAACTCAATGGGGGTTGCTATCAATCAGATTTGACTCAATAGCAGTTATTTTATTTTATTTTTTTTATGAATTAGTAAGGAGCCCTAGAGGCACAAAGGATAAACTCTTGGCTGCTAACCAGAAGAGAAGAGTGTGAACTCACCCAGTGGCTTGTGGGAGAAAAGATCTGGCGATCTGCTTCTGTAAAAATTCCAAATCAAACCCACTGCCACTGAGTTGATTCCAACTCGTAGTGACACTCACTAGGTTTCAGAGGCAGTAAATTTTTACGAGGTAGATTGTCCTGTTTTCCTTCTTCTTCATTCTTGTCCAGAGTTCTTCTCTGTCATATAGTATCACTATGAGTTGGGATTGACTTGATGGTACGCAACAACAATGAATTAGTAGAGTTAGGTATTGCTTATCCATGGCCACTAACATCATAAAGAGGGGGTGAACCAGATGCTATGTGTCTCCCAAAACAAAGACCCAATACTATCAATCAATTCTATGAAGTGCTCTTGACAATATTTGGAACCTAAGTCTCAGTAAGCCTTTAAGGAAGCAATGGTTCTCAACTCTGGTTCACTGATACCTGGAACCCATTCCTGGAAATTCTGATTTAGTTGGGTAATTTTAATAAAGAGCCTCCAGATAGGCTAATGTACAGCAAGAGTTGAGAATTCTAGCCCTAACTATCAATTTAGAGGAAATATAAGGGATGGAAGAACATGTTTAATGACACGGTAGTGATGCAATCAGCAAAATACATGCTATGAGCAACTCTACCAGATGAATGACCTGGCTTCTTAAAAAAGAATGTTGATAGCAGCTTTCTTTGCAATGGCCTGTAATTAGAAATAATCCAAATGTCCTTCAACAGATGCATGGATGAACAAATTGTGATCCCTCTGTGCAATGGAATGCTACTCAGCATTAAAAAGAATGAACACTTGATGCATCCAACAACATGGATGATGTTTAAAATGATTACTATACTGAATGAAAGAAGCAAGATTAAAAAATAAAGTACACACTCTAGATTATATTTGTATAAAACTAAGGAAAAAGGAAAAGAAATAAGTAAGAGAGATGGTGGGGTAACCCATGGACTAAAGGAAGATTTAGAGACATCACCAATTGCAATGGTGGATCTGATTTAGATCTTTATTAGGACTATGAAAAAATTTATAAAGCAATTACAAAAAATTATAAACTGGCTAGATAATCAATGATATTAATAAACTATTATTCATTTTTAAATGTGCTGAAGATACTATGGTGGTTTAAAATGAGTTGTTATCTTAGAGAGGTACATAGTGAGATATTTGAGATATTTGTGAATGAAATGCTATTGTGTCTGGAATTTGCTTCAAAATAATCTAGAGAGGTGATAGAAATGGGTGGGAAGTACACATGAAACAAGACTCAATATGAGTTATAAGTATAATGCTGAAGCTGGGTGACAGGTACAAGGGTGTTCATTAAACTATTTTTGTAGATTTGAAAATTTCCATAGGAAAAAGCTGGGGAAAAAAAAAATGAATGACTTCCCAACATTTAAAAACCATAAGACTTCATATAAACAAACCCAGATTTCCTCCTTCTCTTGGGCCCAGTGCTTGTGTGGCACCAGTTGGCAGGAGCAGGCTGTGGCTGTGTCCTCCAGTTTCTCATAGCCCCTGCTGTCCTACTTCACATATTTACATCAACTGTTTGGTCCCTGCAGGCTCTAGAGTCTAGGACCCTGGGTACTGGGGAAAGCAGGACAGATGGGAAGGAAAAAGGACTCATAAGGGGGCAAGAGAGAAGAAATTCCTGAAGACAGTAAATCTCATTTATTATCACTCTTGTGGCTAAGTACATGGGAATTTTGCCAATAAGTACATATCAAATGAAAACACAAACCCAGAGAAGCACAACGTGTGAACAGTGGAAGCTACCCTATAAGGTTGTGACTGGCCTGAGCACAATCTGAATGTGTCAGGGGCCCTTAACAACAAACTGAGTGTACGCAGAACAGATGGAGGGGATGGGAGCCACTTCCATTGCAGTGTCCTTTCAAAAGCCACTGTGTTTATTAAAGAAAAAGCAGGTGTGGTAGGAAGTCTCCGGCCACTCCTTTGACCTGACATTCACCTGAGAAGCTCTATCAGCCGTTCCTCGAGGTACTTCTTGGTTTTGTTCAGGTCCTCCAGGTCAGCAAGCATCTTCTGGTCATTCTTCTCCCGGTTTGTCACCTCCTCACAGAGTCTGTTGTAACACTCTTGGAATTTTACTGTGGCTTTTTCAAGATCCTTCTGGGTCCTGGTGAAGGAAGTGGTAAATGTTTTTGATTATCCACCACTCCCAGGTCCTCTTATTCCTCTAGGCTGACCCAAGCCACCACTGGGGGGTCCTGTTGCCCTTCCCAGTGTGGGGGGGGAGCTCCCTGGCACTATCTGCTCACTGTTATACACTCATTTAGTCTTCAAGACTCTTCTCATGCACCCAATCCTCCCACTCTCCTAGCTCACCAAGTACAAGGGGGCACTCTAGAAGATCAGGTTGACCCTGACTGGAGCACCCCAGAAAAGTCTATCTGTACTTTTCTTAAGGTCGTTGTTCAGAAAACAGACTCTGGATCCAAATGGTCTGTACTTTAATCTATTTCATCACTTAATCGATTTCATCATTTAATCTATTTCATCACTCACATGCTGTATGACCCTAGGAAAGCTACTCCTCTGAGCCTCATTTTACTCATCTATAAAATGAGGATTAATATCTTTCTCAAAATTGTTGGGAAGATTAAATAGATAAATATATAAGCAAGATATTTAAAGCAGTGTCAGGCATGTGTTAAGCACTATTTGATCGTGTGCTTTTATTATCACAAAGGAGCCCTGGTGGCACCGTGGTTAAAGCACTCAACTGCTAATTGAGAGGTCGATGGTTCGAATCCATCAGCTGCTCCACAGGAGAAAGATGTGGCAGTCTGCTTTAGTAAAGATTTACAGCCTTGGAAACCCTATGGGAGCAGTTCTAAGTCCCACAGGGTTGCCATGAGTTGGAATTGACTCAGCAGAGAGTTTGGTCTGGTTTGGTTATTGTTGTTGTTGTTGTTACGTGCTGTTGAGTTGGACTTGACTCATAGAGACCCCTCCTTGGGTTTCCAAGGCAGTATCACTACGGAAGTAGATTGCCCCATTTTCCTTCCGAGGAGTGGCTGGTGGGTTTGAACCACCAGCCTTCTGGTTAGCAGTCAAGTGCCTTAGGCACTACGCTATCAGAGTTCCCGGTTTGGTTATTATCACCATTATTATTATATTCCAACATTTATTTCCTTTTAATTTTTCTAAGGCACGCTGTTCATTACTGGGCTGTAATATGCCCTGCTAGAGATAAGAAAAAATAATGGAGAGAATGGTTCTTTAGCGTAATAAAGAACTGTCTGGAGGAATGTGATCGGCAGAATGCTAGGTTTTCCATGGCATGCTTCGGGCTCAAGTGCTGTCTCTGTTGTGGTTTTTCTTACAGGAGGGCTTCTTTACCCAGATGTGACTGACTTTCTGAAAGACTGTATGAAATGAATGGTCTTCCCTAAAGGGTCTACCAGTGGCTGTGTGGGTGGACGGTGTAACTAACCTTTCCAGGTTGGCATGCAGGGCAGCCCTCTCCTCGTCCTTCTGTAGCATGGCTGCCTGGCACTCTGAAAGATGGTTGCTGGTGCTGCTCAGCTTCTCTTCCATATCTGCTTGGGTGGCCTGGCAAAAGACATTGGGGAGAAGACACACAGCTTGCAGAGCTCTTGTAGGGAGTGACTTCCATGCCATCTTAATAGAGAATTTTTTATTCCCCTTACATTGAAGAGGCCCAGAACCTCTGTTATATATTTGTGGGGGTGTGACATACTCCTATTAGTGATTATGTCCCTAAAGTATCAATTGCAATTGGCTGTAGAGGTTGGAGGGAGATAGCATGAATCAGACTCTCCAGGTAAAAGTTGGGTTAGAGTGGGGCAGGAGTGGCAAGGGCCAGCGTTCATTGGGAAACATCACTGCTTTGAAGACTGTGCTGTCCTGTCCTGCTCAGTTTAGAATCACTGACTTATAGAACCCTTAAAATGATGGTTAAGACAGACAACTCATTTCCTTTTCATAAGAAATAAGGGCTAGGTGAAAAACACACTTGGCAGCTCTAGCCAGGTGCCTAAGGGAATAGAAGGGGTGGTGATACAAACTGTGGGTTCACACAAAAGTGAACTGATGGCAGCTCTGGCTTAGGAACTGGAAGTTCTGCAGAGAACCCTCTTAAACGGATCAGTAAAAATCATACCAGATGTTCTTACCCTGACAGGTCCACAGATTGATAGTGGAAATGACCCAGGTGGAGGCCAGCATGCTGGGCTTCCCTGGCCAGATGGCCGGGTGGGCCAGTATTGGTCTGGCTCACAGAAGAGTGCTGCTCTGGGCCGCAATGCTGCCCCAGGCCAGAGGCCTACCTTCAGCTTCCCCACGGCCTCCTCGGCAGCCTGCAGCTTTCTGCCTTGCTCCTCCAGCTGGCTCCTGAGGCTTTTGCACTCTTCAGTGGCAGCCTGGGGCGGGCAAGGAGGGGATGATCAAAGTGGGGTCCTTGCTCTGAGACTCGCTCAGCTCCACCCTCCAAATGGGGACAAACGTTGAGCTTTTTCCCCCCTCCAAACTGGCTCCTCGATAAATTTTAGGCTTTATTGGTGACAAAATCCTTTCAAACTTACTAAGAAAAAAGACAGCCTGATCCTCAAATTTAGAATTTCTACAGTGAGCCACAAGGAGTGGAATGGGGTAGGTGACCCATCTGTGGAGGCACAGCAGAATAGCCCTAAAGAGGGGAGTCAAGAGGGTCAGCAGTGGTCTGGTCTGCTGGGGTCTGAGACTGCACAGACCTCAATACCAGTAGATATGTGATAAAGCAAAGCTCCATGGCCATCCTGCCATGTCCTCACTCTTAGCCCTCTTTGTGCAACCTCAAGGATACATAGCCATTGAGCTTTTCTACCCCAAGGGCCGTGTGAAAACTAATCAAGTCACTACCCTCCAACTATGCCTGCTATCAGTATGCATGTGAAGGGGTTGGTTATGCACTGACTATGAACCCAGAAGCAGGACTTCAAGCAGTCAGGATATGCTGGCACTCTGCAAAAGGTTCTAGAAACGGAGGAGAGGTCTCAAACTCACCCACTCAAAGTGGCGGGCAGGTAACCAAATGAGTGTAAGGGAAAACCTGGAGGAGGCATGTCTTCCTTCCTCACTGACTGCTGCCACGTGGGAGTAAGGACCACAGTTTTTAGATCTTCCAAAACTTCAAAATAAGCCTCAAATGGAATTTATTTGCTAAATATCTTCTCTTTAAATGCTGGCTACTGAAAAGAAATTCTATGTGGGCCAAACTTATTTGTAATGATTTCAGACTTCTGGACTAAGACATCACTCTTCAACATTCTATCCCTAGCATGTTCCTGCAGAGAGAGATGCTCTTGGGAGCTCTGACAGCAAGACAGGACCAACAGGTGTTTGCCTGGGCCCATCAAGGACATTCTTGGGCCCTCACCTGCCTCATGGCCAAAGGGTGCATCCTCTCACAAACCCATCAGGCCCACCCCAGGGAGGCAGGTGGAGCCCAGATGGTTGAGGATAGGATTACCTTAAGCCTTTTCTGGTAGTCCATGATCTCAGTGCTCAGTTGGAACTTGAGGGTGTCGAGCTCCTGGTGTGCAGCCTCCTGAAGGCCTTGGGCCCGTTGCTCAGCCTGAGCCAGCTGGGCCTGCAGGCCAGCCAGTAAGCTGGCTGCCTCCTCCGCTGCTTTCAGCTTCTCCTGCAAGCTCTCCTTCTCTTGCTGCAATCCAGCCACTTGGCACTCTAGGCCCTCTCGCTCCCTGGAGGTTGTCTCTTTGGTGTCCCTGAGTTCCTGGGTGGCACAGGACAGGGCCCTCTCTACCCGCTCCTTCTCTGCGGTCAGTGTGCAGACCTGGATGCCAAGCTCGGCCGTGTCAGTGTTGGCCCTGTGCAGCTGCTCCTGCAGCTCCACACGCTCCAGCTGGGCTGTTGCGGAGTCTTGCTTTGCCTGGGCCAGCTTCTCCTGCAGGGCCTGGAGCAACTCGGCCCTCTGCTGAGCCTCTCTGGCCTTTTCCTCCTGCAGCATCGCTTCCCGTTCTGAGCACTGCAGCAGCTCCTGGACATGGGCCCGGTTGAGGGCTTCATTCTGTTCTTTCAGTTGCTGCACGAGAGCCTTGTGTTCTCTCAGGTCTACCTCAGCCACACCCCGCTGGCTCTGCGCCTTCTCCTGGTCATCTAGGGCTGCCTGGAGCTTGGTCTGGAGGTCCACTACCTCAGCCTTCAGGCGCTGGGCCTCCCCCTGATGAACCTCCAGCTGCGCCTGAGACAGGGCTAGCTGAGACGTCAGGTCATGGGATATATTGTCTTGGGGTGGGCTGAGTCCCTGTTGGCCTTTCTCTGCTGTAAGGGCCTGGATCAGCTGGGTCTGCTCATGGCACTGGCTCTTAAGAGCCTTGAGCTCCCCGTCCTGGGCCTCTGCCAGTTGTCGGCACTGCTCAACCTCTTCCCGTAGTTGCTGGCACTCATCCTCCTTGCGCTGCAGGACAGCATCCTTCTCTGCCACTCGGGCCTTCATGATCTCCTTTGCCTTCCTTACAGCCAGGAGGCTCGCCTCCATCTGGTCACCCATGAGTCGAATGTTGGCCTGTTCCGACTCTAGGGAGGCCAGGGAGCCCCGGATGGCTGCTTCCCGCTGCTGTAGTGCCTCATAGTCAGCCTGCATGGCCTGCAGTTTGCCCTCCAGGAGCTGGTTGCACTCGAGCACATTCTGTAGCTCCTTTTTCAGCTCCCTGTTGGCCTGCTGGAGCTTCTCTTCCTGGTCACCCTTATGGCTAAACTGGCCCTCCTGTGGGCCGCTCTGTTCCTCCTCCAGTTTCTCAAAGGTCTGTGGCACAGGGGAGTACAGGAGGGCCAATGCTTCACTCCCCTCACTTGTTACGGGCAGCTCTGGGCCTGCCTGTCCAGCAAGCTGCTCCAGTGTCCCCACCTTCTGGCTGAGGTGGTCTTTGTCCTGAATGAGCTGCTTCTTCTGCTCCTCCAGGTCGCTCACATGCTGGCTTACCTGTGACAGCTGGGTCTCTAGGAACTGCAGCTGCCTTGTCAAGGACCTGGCCTCCTGCTCCAGTAGCTCCTTCTCCTCCTGCCACTGCTGCTCCTGGCGTCTTACCTCCATCACCTCCCCGTTCAGGGAGCTCATTTGGGCCAGCGATTCTTGTAACTGATGCTGGAGCTGGGCTGCCTCCTGCCCCTTTCTGGCCAGTTCTTCCCGAAGGGGGGCCATCTCCTTCACCACTTGCTCCAGGTTGGCTCGGGCCTCCTCCTTGAGGTGCAGCTCTTTGGTCAGCTGCTCTAGCTGAGCACTCTGCTGCCTATTGAGCTCCTGGGCCTTGGTGCTCTCCTCGTCTAGGACTTGAAGCTTTGTCCCCAGCTCCTGGATTGCCAAAGCCGAGTCACTTGGGACAGGCTCTTGCTGTTCCTTTGTGCCCTGGGTCATTTCTGTCTTCTGCTTAGCCCAGGCCAGCCAGGCTGAGACACTGAGTAACTGCTGGTTCTTCCCTCCCAATGAGTCCTGTATGATCTTGAGCTCCTGCACCACGGGTTGCAGCATGGACTCCAGCTGTCGCAGGGCTGACTGGTAGTCCTCCTTCTCTGCTGCATCCAGCTCCAGGGCCTGCAGGTACTTCTGTAGCTCCTTTATTGTGCTCTCGGTGGCCTGGGTAACCTCCCACTGCTTCTGGAGCTCAGCCACCAGGCTCATGAGGCGGATGTTCTCCTCGGCAGCAGCACATCCCCTCTCCCTCTCCATCCGAAGCTGCTCTTCCTGTGAGCTCAGAGCTGCCCGCAGCTCCTGGTTCTCTCTGTCCAGCTGCTGCATTCTATCCTGCAGGTGTTTCTCCCGCACCTCCAACTGATCCAACTCCAGCCGCATCTCATCAAATCCCTCCAGTGCTTCGTTGTTTAAGGGGCTGTTCAGGTCAAAGCTGGAGGCCATCTCCTGAGTCTAGGGAGGGAAGCACACAAAACAAGTGGCTGTGGGATGAAACTCCACAGCTACTTGCAAAAGCTTTAGAGTTTAATGAGAGGGAACCCAAAATATGGTAAGTACATGACCCGAGATTAGTCTAACAAGAAATTATTCAAAGGACTAGAAACCCTTTGCTCAAGGCATCAGCTGTAAGGTCACCAGTTCATTTCAAAGACTTGGTGCCATATGCACGCAATCCACTGAGACTTGCACTTGCATCTCCTGTGCCAGACTCTTTTAGATCTATTAAAAGAAAGGATGCTGGTTCTTAGAGTAACTAAATTATACATAGAACCTGTTTACCCACTGCACCAGATCTACAACTCCTATCATGATTAAACCACAAGAAGGTAAAAGATTAATCCACCTTCTACTCTTAATGCTGTTTCTTTTTTCTTTCCTCTTAAATTTGATTTTGTTGTTGTTGAGAATATACACAGCAAAATATACACCAATTCAACAGTTTCTACATGTACCATTCAGTGACACTGATTACATTTTTCAAGCTGTGCAACCCTTCTCACCCACCTTTTCCCAGTTGCTCCTCCCCCACTAACAGAAACTCATTGCCCCGCCAGGTTCCTGTCTAATGTTTTAAGTTGCTGCTGTCACTTTGATCCCAGATAGATGGTTTTTAAAAGGCTAGTTAGGCTAAACTATTGTTCAGTTTTAAGATGACTTCAGGATATATTTTTGGTTTAAGGTTTCAAGATTATCTCAAGGCAATCATTTCAGAGGTTCATCTACCCTTTACGGCTACAGCAAGTCTAGAATCCATGAGAATTTGAAATTCTGTTCTACATTTTCCCCCTTTAGATCAAGATTCTTCTATGATATGTTTGAACACAATGTTCAGTAAAGTAGCCAGGCCCAATCCAGTTCTTCTGGTCTCACAGCAAACAAGACAACAGTTTATGGAGGCAATCAGCCACACTTTCCATATATCCTTCTACTCCTGACTCTCCTTCTTCCTCTGTTGCTCGGGAATAGAGATCAACAGCTGTGTCTGAACACTTTTTATAGAGTTCATTCTTAATTTTTACTATTGATCAATTTTAGTACTCTTTCCCACAAAACTGTACACAGCTATAATGATACATTCACATTTCTAACAAAATTAACCAAACCAACCCTCTCTCCTAGCACTTATGAGCACTTGTCCATGTCAAGCCCTTAAGCACTACAGTATTTGCCCTCATTCAATACAACCACCTTTCCACCAGCCCAGCGCAAGCTGGCTTTTATTATGCTCATTTTATGGATGATAGAGCTGAAGCTCCAGAGGTTAAGTAACCTGCCCAGGGCCACACAATGGGCAAGTGACAAAGTCAGGTTTTAACTCTGTCTCTTATAACCATGGGATTAAAAAGCTTCCTTTAACAGCTTTTAGAAGAATTTAGCTTTAAAAGGGCCTAAACATTTGGTTTTAAGAACTTAGGTTCCAGGAAATAGTAAGTGTAACCTAGGGGCTATATTGCTGTGGCTCAAACAAGAGGTTTCTGACAAGGGGGTCAACACTATAGCGAGGAAATTGCAAGCCTTTCTGGCATTACCTGCAGGTAGCTGCTCACCAAACTGCTCATGCTGGAGCTTCGGCTGGGGGGTTTCCACATGTAAGCAGAAGAGCCGGTAGCCAGAGTCCTTCTGTGGGGCCACAGGACAGACACACCAGTATTCAGAGCAGGTAATCTCTCTGTCTCTGTCTCTCTCTCTCTTTCTCTCTCTCTCTCACACACACACACACATACATGGAGGCCTTAGTAGTCACTAGCCATTGCCTGCTCAGGTAGTGTATAAGAAGGCAAAAACCCAACAGTTTCCACCAAAGAGCACACTTAGGTTGGTCTGTAACATTTAGTTTGGACCTGTGTTGGCCTACTGCTAAAATTCAATCATATAGCTTTCTTCTCACTGCCAAAAGAAATTAAGTTTGGGTTTAAAATTTCCTTGAGCTTTTGGTGTCTGCCATAGTCTGCCAGTGAGGAACGAGTAGCAATCAGTTTATTTTAAAAAGGTCAAATTGTATTTAAGGGCTCATGTTGTTGTTATGTGCCGTCGAGTCAGACCCGACTCCTAGCGACCCCTCCTTGGGTTTCCGAGGCAGTATCACTACGGAAGTAGATTGCCCCATATAGCCACTGCTTTATATTACACATACATACTAGAAGACCTGCTTTTTGTTCATGTGACAGCTTTGGACAGTGAAACACAGTACATTTCCCTCACTGCAGAAAGTACTATTGACAGTGCCAGTGTAGATATACAACATCTTGTGTGATAACTCTCACTTAGCAGGAACGTTTCAAACTAAACATGGTTCACTTCACCAGAATCTTCCCCATAATTCAAAATGATTGCATTTTCTATTTTGCTAGTCTCTACAACTCAGCATTTCCACTTCTCAGTATCTACTCAAGAGACACACATCTGTGCACAAGGAGACATGAAGATGCTCTTTGCAGTACTTACTGGTACAGTGGAAAATGTGGAATCAACCTAACTCTTTATCACTAGGGAAAGAGATAAACCGGTTTATTTGCACAACAGAATACTCTACATCATGGAATGACAATCTTTTTTTTTTTTTTTAAATAAAGGGTCAGATAGCACATATTTTAGGCTTGTGGGCCATAAGGTCTCTGTTGGAACTTCTCAATTCTACCATTGTAGCATGAAAAGTGGCCAAAGACAATACGTAAACAAATGGGCAAAGCTGTGCTCCAATTAAACTTTATTTATAAAATCAGGTAGTCACTTGGTGGGCTGTAGGCTGCAGTTTGCTAACCCCTGCTCTATATCTATAGAACAACACATACAAACAGATAAAAATCTCAAAAACAATGTTCAATTAAAAAGGCAAGCTGCAAAAGGACAGCTATCTCATGACTCAGTATCTGTAAAATTTTAAAAAATACACAAAATGTACAAAATAAACTATACACACACATACACATATATGAAAAATTTATGGATACACACAAGTAGTAAAAACATAAAAGCATCTAGGAATGACACGAATCAACTACAGAGCTGGGAAAGGGGAAAGGATGGCAGTGGGTGGTGGGGCTTTAATATTTTATTTCTTAAGAAAAAGGATAACAGATACAACAACAACAACAACAACAACAAATTCCACAGGAACCAGGGTGAAGGGATCCTACTGGCCAAATATGGGGCAATCTTGGCTTCAAAATAAGAAATTAAAGTGTCCATATATAACCAATTGAATTAAATAAGAATCCATGAGTTCACATTGATGTAAATGAGTAAATAAATGTACTTCTTACAGTAGAATGTCAACAAATAATGTAAAAGGAGTGAAAGAGTTAGAAAACTGCTGTCTGGTCATCATGATAGTAGTAACCAATTCAGGCAAGAATTACCAATGGATTCTAAAACTAGTATGTAAAAGATTTACGAGAAACAGGATAATAATGGAATCTCAAAGTGTATCACCAGAAGATACATATTAATCCCAAAGGGAAAAATAATAACTTTACAGAAACCTGGCAAACACTATCTTAACCTCACTAGTTATAAAACAAATCAATACTGTGTGCTTCTGGATACAAACCACTGAGAAGGAGACAGCATCATAGCTGAACCAACATGCTGAAATCAGACGAACCCAAATTAAGGAACATGTTATAACATAACTGGCCTGGGCTCTTCAAAAATGGCAATGCCATGAAAGACAAAGAACAAGAAACTTCCAAAGGGGAACTAGAGAAATGTGACAATTAATTACAACATGTAATCCTGGATCAGATTCTGGACCAAAATGCTTTTTATTGGGATAATTGGCAAAATTTGAATAAGGTCTGTTAATTAGATGTCAATATTATATTAATGCTAATTTTCTGATTTTCATAATTATACTGAAGTTATGTAAGAGGATGTCCTTGATTTTAGGGAATATCCAGTGAAGTAAAGGGGAATCCAGTCTGTAACTTACTCTCAAATGGTTTAGGAAAGAAACCAACATGTCTATACAAAGAGAAGAATGATAAAATAATTGAGGACAAATACTAAGAATTGGGAAATTTATGTGAAGGATATAGAAGTACTCAACTATTTTTGCAACTTTTCTATAATTCTCAAATTATTTTAAAATAAAAATATTTTAAAAAGCCCATCTGAAGCAAATATGGCAACATGTTATCTATTAAATCCTGGTGGTTGGTATGTGGGTATTATAGCCAGTACCTTTCTCTACAGAGAAAATTGCTCCTAGCCAACAAATTAGAAATTGAAATTAAAAAAAAAAAAAAAAAAAAATCCTACTGAAAGTCAAACAAAACAAAGAATGCTGGCCTTGAGTTCAGTCAAGTCTGGTGCCTGGCCCTGCTGCCCTCAGCTATGTGACTATGGACAACTTCCTCCACTCTCTGAGCCTGTTTCCTCAGTGCCTCCCTCTGTGAGGGTTCAATTTGATGCAGAGTAACCAACTGGCTTGATGATCTGAACACAGGGAGAAGACAAACGGCAATCCTTCCAGCAGGAGGATGAGCTGTAGCTTTCTCCCTCTCTGACTGCATAGAGGGTCTCTGTACGAACATGGTAAAAACACAACTAAGAAAAGCCCAGTCCTCTCTCAGCCCAACAGTAGAAAGACTGACATGCAGAACACCTACCCCAGGGCAATGCACTCACCTACTCTAGGGAGACACACCCCTTAGAGCAATCAGCCAGGAGACACCAGAGGGGCAGCATTCACACAGAGGGAAAGCTGGACAGACAGCAGTGCACAGTTAAGAAGGGCACAGGGAGGGGACAGTCACAGGGACGGGAGGGAGGAGACTTTGTTATGGTTGGGGATGGGACTCGGGGCATGAAATCACATGTGCATGAACTGTTGAATGTAAAACAAATTTGCTCTGTATATTTGCACCCAAAGCACAATAAAATTTAATAAAAAAGAAAAGAAAATCCCAGTCCCCACCTTCCTCACTCCCAACCTCTGACTCCCACTTCCACTCCAACACCAAACCAAAAACTGAACCCACTGCCATCAAGTCAGATCTGACTCCTAGTGACCCCTCCTTGGGTTTCTGATGCAGTTATCACTGCGGACATAGATTGCCCAATCTTCCTTCCGAGGAGTGGCTGGTGAGTTTGAACTGCCAGCCTTCTGGTTAGCAGTCAAATGCCTTAGGTACTACACTACCAGAGCTCCCTCCAGTCCAACAAGTCACTTAAAAAAAAATGTAAAAACCTCAGGTTTTGCATATGCATCTCCACTGCCTCCTCCCACCTAGCCAGTTAGGTTGGTTTAAAATAGGAGCCATCAGATGTTCTTGTTAGGCCCAACTCAACAAAATCTGTAAAATTAGCAGGCATGAGAGTTGCAAAGCTTTGTGTAATTTACTTTGCAAGCAAAACTGCTTCCAACAGACTGGGGGCAAACTTCAAAAACCTCAAGTGTTTCTCTCTCCAGTATTTTAAACCAAGCAATTCCTCAAAAGTACCTGGCAAACGTCGGCCAGGCAGCATCCAAGTCATAGCCCCTCGATGCCAGGTCAAAGTGAACCTCGGTCAGCTCATAGAGTTGGCCCACAATGTCTGAGCTCAGCTTTGGCTTCAGAAAGGGGCTTCTTGCATAATACCAGTCACTGCAGAAAGACATAAAAATGTTTGAGTTACAAGAGTAATAAAAAGAAGGATAAAGTGAATTTAATCAGTTCTCCTCTTGTGGCTCTGCCTCATCCAATTCCATCTCATTTACCAAATTAATCTCACACACACACACACACACACACACCCATTTGATTTTCACTGTGGGAACACCTCACTCTCCATAACTTGCTCTTCTTCAAAGAAGTTAGCGTAATGATCTAGATGCTTATTCATTTATTATTTAGATTATACCTATTTCCCAAAAAGGATGTGTGACACTTTAAATCTCACTTACCAAGAAAGAGCATTAATTGGGGAAGGGACATTTCCTTTTTTAAAGATAACCTCACTTTCTTTTTTCACAGCAGCTCCCAATCCTAGGTGCTCATCATAGTAGTCTATTCCTTCCTCAGACCTCAACATGGGGCACTGAACTCATGGCTGATTTCTGTCCAGACACCAATTTAAAAGCCAAGGAAAATAATAACTACCCAGAAATGCTATCATTACTTTGAAGCGGTGGTGATTTCATTTTGTGAGAAGCAACAAGAGCCAAAACAGGTAACATTGATGAGTTCAAAGATCTACTTGGTGTCCACTGATGTCTCTGAACTGTAATATACTAGAAGGCAAGATGTTTTGGTGGTCTTCACCAATATCTGGAAAAAATACCCTTTAAAACCAAATGTGCATATATTCTCAACTCACAAAACTCAAAAACTCACTACTGTCGAGTCAGATCCGACTCATAATGACCTGCCCTTGGTTTTCCGATGCGGTATCACTATGGAAGCTCAACTCACAAGTATTCCCAAAGCCTGTCATGTGTATGAGATATACATATTTATACAAATTAATTTTAAAGCTGACAAAACCAAACAAAACATTTTTCCCTAGAGGTTTTTTTTTTTTTTTTTTAAATTCAGAAGTAATTTCTTTAACTGGAAAAACATTCCCTAAAGGGGAGGTAAAGCTAGAAAAGGGATAATGACAGAGTTTCACTGATTGGTTCCTGATCTGCAGCTCATAATTTGATCCCTAACTCTCCCGTTACGCATCAATCCCTGCCTCCCTGATTCCTCCCCATTCCCCTGCATTAGCAATGCAAAGGCTTATCCCCATAGACAACTTGAGCTCCACAGCAGCTTGCAATCCTGGGTGCCCATCACAGTCTCCAGAGAGCCCAGATACTCCAACAGATGTTGACCCGGTATCTTAGTTGAGGAGGCTCCAGGCTTGGTGTTGTTAAAATCCCCCTAAGTGACTCTGCTGAGAGGCCAGGGCAGCAACCCACAGGCCTTCTAGGATGACCAGAAGGGTCTTTCCATTAACACTAGCACCAAGAACACTGATCCACCAAGGAAAACTGCCTAGAATAGGAATTAGGAGGCATGGATCCCAGCTCTAGCTTCACAACTTAAGATCAATGGGGCTTAGGGAAAGGTATATTTGGTCTGTGAGCCTCGTTTTTCTCACCTGTAAAAACTCAGTACTCTCTGCCCCAGATGCACTAGGGACTGTGCAGAGGTAGAAGAGAATGATGCTGATGTGGAAAGACTCTGCACATGTCAAGGTGTGTGCAATGCTGCTGCAGCTGTCATTACTACTCAGGAGGGGCCTTCAGTTCACTTCTGAATGGTACGGGGGTAGACCCAACACTGTCACATATTTACCTGGTGACTTTAGTGTTCATGAAGCACTGCTGTAAGGTATCTGCCAGCCTCTGGTGCACCAAGGAGTAGCGAATAAAGGCTCTTCCTTTCCCCAGAGATGTTCGGAGCTGGAAAAAGCAGATTGCTTGAAGATGAAGAACTATTAGCCTAACTCCAAATACAGACCTTCTGGCCTCATAGATGGCTTGCAAAAAACAGATCCATGGCAGACAATGCCACCCAATTCTACCCTAAGCATTTGCTTCAGTTATGGCCCTCAAAGGACACAAGACATTTGGTAACGCTAGCCCAGGCAGCAAGGCCTGAAGTGGGTGGACTTCTTGCAGGCCTTCAACCGGAGAGTAATCTGTACTCCAGCACACATGTCAAGGAAGAGCTATTACTGAGAGGCTCCCAAAAACCTGACCTGTGGATCCTACTAGAATGCCACTTTCTCTGCTCCACCCCATCAGATTCTCTAGGTTTGGAGCCCAATATAAAACTGTCTGATTTAATTTGGAATATGTAGAATAGTACTTGGAAGTAAATGAAGGGCATCTCATGCCAGAAGTGAGCTTGGGTAATAAGTTGTTGTTGTTATGTGCTGTCGAGTCAGACTTGACTCATAGCGACCCCTCCTTGGGTTTCCGAGGCAGTATCTCTATGGAAGTAGATTGCCCAACCTTCCTTGCAAGGAGTGGCTGCTAGGTAGTAAGAGATGGTCTCAATTTGGCTAATGTCTGGGTTTCTTTCAAAGTGCAGAGAGGACAGGTGAAGAGGAGAAGGCCTAAAGGGCTTGGCTGGAGCACTCATGGAGGAGAGAAGAGAGACTAGGGGAAAGGGCCAAAGAGTTCAAAGGAGATTTTTAAAGAAGTTTTGCTGGATGTGTACCTGCCTCTGTGTCCTATGAAATCATCAAGCAAAATCCATGTATTTGTCAACACTTTCCTGGTTGGACTTGTTTCTTTTCAGATATGACAACTCACTGCATTTAGTTAGAAAGTGTCCAGGGGTGAGATCAGGGCTGTCTCTAGGCAGCCCCATCACTTTGGGGTAACATCAACAACAACAACAACAAAATGAACATGGGTCTATTCATGGAATTCTAAAGTGAATGGCACAAGAGGGCCCAGTGCAGGTCAGTCTTCAAAACCTCCCCTCACAGAGCCCATCACTACAAAATCAACTCAGAACAAGGAGAAGATGTGCTTGAACTCTTTTGAGGTTTAAATTCATCTCTCAAAACACAGTTTCTAAAGAGGTGTCTGGGAGCTTGTTTTGATGGAAGTGGATATGCTGGCCAGAGAAAGCAAGGCTGCGCTGGTTGTGGGCACATGGCTGCCAAGATGAATAGAAAAAAGGGGACAGACACAGAAGACGCTTGACATCAGTTTACAAATTAGAAGTCATACTCCTGATGCTCCAGCCCCAGAAGCTCAAGAAAAGAAGGCAGGAATTCAAAACTTCCCAACCTACCACATACACTTGTTCAGTCAGGCTCTGGGTCTGAGTGGAGTTGAGTTGGGCCCACACCCTCCCCAACCCTTCAACTGTTGCTTGGGTGGAGCAAATCGTTTGTCTTCTACTTCTAAACATAAAGGCTGGTGGTTCAAACCCACCTAGCGGCACCACATAGGACAGGTGATCTGTTAAGATTACAGCCAAGGAAACTCCAGAGAGCAGTTATACTCTGTAACACATGAGTCAGAATCAACCCAAAGGCAATGAGTTACATATAGCAGGGAAGGGGTAGCAGTGGTTTGACCAAAACAAGGTCCTAATATCCCATGCTAATACATTAAAATAATAATTAATGCCCCAGATAGAGACAGGAAACATATATGGTACAGCCTCAAGCACTGGAATATTAATAATGGTGGAAAAATCCCAGTATACGTGTATATGGCTTAGAGCTATATTTCTTCTTATGGCTGACTCTGGGAAATAATACCACAATAAATAACAGTTTTTTAAAAATAAAAAGGTGTGAAACCTCATGAACTACAGAAGCTGTAATACATATCTCCATGTAGATTTTGTGGGTTTTGGGTAGTCGGGACACCCAGAAACAAAGATGGGCAGCAACCTGACCTACTGGCTTTAGAAAAACAACCAGGGCACACCTGAGATGATCTCAACAGATGCCCAGCAGAGAATCTTGATGACATCTCTATGTCCAAATGCTTTTCCACTGATGAGTGAGGTGAGAACAAAGTGTGTGGTGGTGATAACCAGGAAACACAGGCAGCCAAGAGCTGCTGAGCAAGGCACTGTGAAGCAAAGTGTGTTGTTCATACAAACACACACTCATACACAGGCCATCAGGGTTTTTTCATGTAACAGCCCACATCTGTAAGTTCCTAAAGGTGGAGATTGTCCTTATTATTGCAAACTGGCCATGATCACAGCCGTTAGAACATTCATTACAACTTTTTTAATGGCAACCATATGATGGTGTATTTTTAAATCAGGCCTATAACTGAATTGGGACCTCTGGTGGTGTAGTGCCTAAGGCATTTGACTGCTAACCAGAAAGCTGGTGGTTCAAATTCACCAGCCACTCCTTAAAGGAAGGTTGGGCAATCTACTTCCATAGTGACACTGACTCAGAAACCCAAGGAGGGGTCGCTATGAGCTGGATCCGACTTGATGGCAGTGAGTTTGGTTTTTTGGGTTTTATATATAAGCAAATCAAAAAACTCAATACTACTGAGTCGATTCTGACTCATAGTGACATAGTGACATAGGACAGAGCAGAACTGCTCTATGTGGTTTCCAATGCAGTAAATCTTTACGGAAGCAGACTGCCTCATCTTTCTCATGCAGAGTGGCTAGTGGAGTTGAATCTCTGACCTTATGGTTTGCAGCTGAGCACTTATCAACTGCATCACTAGGGCTCTTGATTATCTAAAGGAAAATATATAGTTTAAAAAGTATTTTCAAATATACCTTAAGGGATAGTTCCTTTTTTAAAAAAAGTTAATATTTAATTGTGATTTGAGTGAAAGTTTACAAATTCACTTTCCATACAGCAGTTCACATACACTTTGTCTCATGACATTGATTACAAAAATACGGAACATTTCACGAATTTGCGTGTCATCCTTGTGCAGGGGCCATGCTAATCTTCTCTGTATCGTTCTAATTTTAGTATATGTGCTGCTGAAGCAAGCACAGAGTAGTTCCTTCTTACTGTAAACAAAAACTGCAGGTCTTTTTTATGTATATATTTATTTTTTGAGATTGTGGATCTTCTTTCATTACCTAATTCCTTAATTTTTTAACTTCTAATCAGAACATATACACACTATATTGAGAAGTGATACAACAGTTGCAAGGGACAAGAAGTCTGCAGGATACACGAGAGCCAATTCTGCTCTAAACCAGGCCACTGTACAGTAGCCTGATGCCAAGCTGCACCCAGATCTAACCCTGTTCATTGCGATCAAACAGTTCAGGCTGAGCCCATTCTGAACTTCTGGAAAAGGCTTATTAGATCCTTAAAGTATTTTAGCTCAAATTGCTGCCTCCTATTCCCCAAAGGGGCCTAAGTGCCCCAACAAATTCTTTCTATCCATTAACTTTGATGCTTTGACTTGACGGGGATGGTGTTTGATTATAGAAGTTAACCCAATAGTATAGCTGACAAGGGGCAAGGTTGTGGTGGCTTCTCAGCCACAGCCAGCTACCTGGAGGGAGTGAGTAGTTGGACCTGTGGGCTTGGGACCATGGTCTCAGGCGACATCAACCTCAACTGGCATAACCTACTACACAAAAACATTGTTCCACATCCTCCTTCAGTGAGTAGCAACTGAGATCTTAAAAGCTTGCAAGTGGCCATCTAGATGCAATGATGGGTCTCTCCTCATCCAGAGCAAAGAAGAATGAAGAAAACCAAAGATTCATGGAAACAATTAGTCCAAGGGATCGGCAGACCACATGATCCTCAGCCTATATGACCATGAGACCAGAAAAACTAGATGGTGCCTAGCTACCACTGTCAATCACTTGGAGGGGGGATAGAGTGGGAGAACAATGTAGAACAAAACTCAAAATCATAAAAAAAAAAAAAAAAGACCAGATTTGCTGGTCTGACAGAGCCTGGTGAGACCCCTGAGACAATGGCCCCTAGCTACCCTAGGTCTGGAATTGAACTCACTCCTGGGGCTTCCAGCCAAATAACAGACAGAAGTATGGTATGAACATTTATATTACGTAGATACACTACATGGAGCAATCAATCATGGGAGAACAGAAGGGTAGTGTTTGCACAGGGAAACAGCTTAGGGGGCAGGAGTACATGGGAGGGAAGGACACAGGGAAGTGGTAACTATGGGGAGGCAGTGGGAAGACAGCTGTTACATTGTGGGGAATTGCAGTTAATTTCATTAGACAAAGTGTATGTGAACTGCTGTATGGAAAATGAATTTTCTCTATAAACTTTCACCTAAATCACAATAAAAATGAAAAAAAAAGAAAACACCTTAACCCAAATATCCAGCAGCCTACCTAGTAATGTTCCAAGCCATTCTATCCAATGGACCCCAGAGAGCATAGTCTTCATTGAAACAACTGGACTCTATGGGAAGCTAAGCCTATGCCAGCCACCAAACAAACAAACAAACAAAAAAACAATGTTTGTAAGAGCAGGGAATGCCTTTTATAAAGTCAGTTTCCCTGGCCTTGAGTTATCTAAAAGTTCTGAGTGCATTACGAGAAAAGAAGAGGACTCTTCCCCAAAAAACAGGTATGTGTTAGTAAGCATTTTATAACCCTGAGAAATGATAATTAAAGCTAAAATTATTCCAGATTTCAGCTGTCCAAAGTCATAGGGTCAAAGACTTTAACTGCTCTGATGTAGTAGCTGAGAAGTGGAAGGGAGGAGAGTGACAATGACAACTCCTTCAGATTTATGGAGGAGGGTACAATGTGAATGCCCTCCAGATTTATGATGCACTCAAAAAATACTCCGCATCATGGACCCAAGAGTTCCACCAGGAAGAGCTCATAAGACTTGTCTCCATTACATGGACATTAAAGAAATTTGCAGAACACACTCTTTATAGCCAGGATTTTTCCACATTTTCTCAGCTAAATGTCAGCCAGTGCAGCTGGTGGAAATGCCCAGCTCTTGATGTCAGTGTACCTAACAATATCAAGCTCTATAAGAAGAAACACACTTGGGTCCAGCTGGCTCTTCCCAGAGCACCCGACCTTGCCGCCTTTGCAGGAGATGGGCCAGGGGTCATATCTGTTGACTTTAAAGTGACTCCTGGATGAACTAGGCTAGGGAGAACGAGGGCTGCAGATTCATAGGGTGTGGAGAGAGGAAGGGAGATGCAGAAAGGAAGAGAGAGAGAGAGAAAGTGAGAAAGTGTGCATGTGTTATGTGTGTGTGCATGTATATGTAAAGACCCCTCCCCTAATTTGTTGTTGTAGAGTTTTGTAGTAGGGCAAAGTCATAGTACTCTTGAGGGACTCAGAATTGAATGGGAATTCACTTCACACACCAGCATTTTAAGATATGGTACTTGAAATCCCATACTATCTTCTTTTTCAAAACCATGCTTCATGGCCAAATTATAGAGAAAGCAGCCTAGCAAACTGTTTAAGAATTTTATGTAAGAAAGAGATTTTTCTTTAAAAGAAAGGTGGAGGTATCCTGTGTTACACACCTCCAGGAGGCACATGAATAGAGATTACAATGTGAAATGTGAAAAGCCTTCCCTGTGGGTAGCACATGGGTCACTGAGCCATTCCTTTGCTGGGTAAATGGTCACTAACATGGTTTCTCCCTGAGCTTGATCCATGGCAATGGTGGACACTGAGAATATCTGGACTGGATTTCTTTACTTCTCTACCACCTGTAAACTTCTACTTCTTCACTTTGCTGTCTGCAGCAAAGAGCTCCGCAAAGATGCTCAAGGTAGGTGAGAAGATATATAGTCCTTGGCTGCTCTTCTCAGCTTACCTCAGAAATAGACTTGACGAATCGGATACCATCATTGGCTCCTTTCACTTTGGCCAGGCAGTCACAGAAGTAATCCCAGTAGTCCTTCTTGTTGCCCAGGAGGGTGGCTTTCTCTTTCTGATCAAACTGGGGAAGGAACAGAATCCAACAGCATATTAAAAGAGTTATACACCATGACCAGCTGGGATTTATTCCAGGGATGCAGGGACGGTTCAACGTCAGAAAAAGCAATCAACATAATATACCACATCAGTGGAACAAAGGAAAAGAACCACACGATAATCTCTGTGGATGCAGAAAAAGAATTTGATAAAATCCAACACCTTTTCCTGTTGAAAATCCTAAAACAGATTGAAATAGAAGGGAAATTCCTCAATATGATTCAGGACATACATGAAAAGCCAATAGCCAACATTATACTTGATGGAGAAATACTGAGAGCTTTGCCCTTAAAATCAGGAGCAAGACAAGGGCACCATTCCTACTGCTTCTATTCAATATTGTATTAGAAGTCTTAGTCAGAGAAGTAAGGGGGAAAAAAAAAAAAGTATCCAGATTAGAAAAGAATAAGTAAAATTATTGCTCTTTACAGATGATATGATCCTATATACAGAAAATCCCTAAGAGTACACAAGAAAACTTCTAGAGCTAATGGAGGAATTTAGCAAAATTTCAGGGTACAAAGTCAACAACAAACAAAAATATGCCAGCAAAGAGAAACGTGAAAGGGAAATTAGGAAAACAATTCCATTTATAATAGCATCTTCTTTAATTCATTTATTAAAGATGACTTAAGTAAATGGAAAGATGTTTCATGTTCATGGAATGGAAGACTTAATATTGTTACAAAATCAATACTACCCAAAAGGAGCTCTGGTGGTATAGTGTGATTAAGGCATTTGGCTGTAAATCCAAAAGTCAGTGGTTCGAACCACCAGCTGCTCCATGGAAGAAAGATGAAGCAATCTGCTTCCATAAAGATTTATAGCTTTGGAAACCCAATGGGGATGGCTATAAATCAGAAACAATCTACAGACCCAGAGCAATCTATAGATTCAATGTAATCCTGATCAAAATTCTAATAGCTTTTTTCATAGAAACAGAAAAAACAATCCTCAACTTTATATGTAGTGGCAAGAGGCTTCAAATAGCTAAAACAAAGTTGAAAAAGAAGAAAAAGGTAGAGGAACTCACATTTCTTTTTTTAAAAACATACTATACAGCTACAATAATCAAAAGAGCCTGGTACCAGTATAATAATAGACATATAGACCAATGGAATAGAATTGAGAGTCCAGAAATAAACCCATATATCTATGGTCAATTGCTTTTTCCTTTATAACGCTACATTGTGACTTAAGTGAAAGTTTACAGAGCAAATTAGTTTCCCATTCAACAATTTAGACTCAATTTGTCTCATGACATTGGTTGTAATCCCGGTAATATGCCAGCATTCTCCCTGCTTTCTCCCTGGGTTCCTTGTTCCCATTCATCCATCCTTCCTGCCCCTACTTGCCTTCTGCACTTTGCTTTTGGGCAAATGGTGCCATTTTGGTCTCTACAGTTGATTATCCTGAGGTGAACATTCTTCTAGGGTGTTATTGTTCACTTTATAGGCCTATCATCTGGCTATAATGTGACCTCAGGGAGTGGGTTCAGTTCCAAGTTGGAAAGGTGTCTAAGGCCCACAGTCTCAGGGGTTCCATCAGGCTCTATCAGACTAGTAAGTTAGGTCTTATTAATGAATTTGAATTTTGTTCTACTTTTTAATCCCACTCTGTCCAGGATCTACTATTGTGATCCCAGTCAAAGCAGTTGGTACTGGTAGCTGGACACCATCTAGTTCTTCTGGTCTCAGGCTAGTGGAGGCTGAGGTTCATTAGTCCTTTGGGCCAATTGTTTCCTTGAGTCTTTGGTTTTCTTTACACTTTTTTGCTCCAGGCAGGAAGAGAACAATTGTACCTTAGATGGTCACTTTCAAGCTTTTAAGACCCTAATCACTACTCATCAAGGTAGGATATAGAACATTGTCTTTATGGACTATGTGTGTCAATTGTCCTGGATGACCCTCAAGGCAATGTTCCCAAGGCCTCAAGTCCAGTGATTCAATCCTATGAGGTGCTTGGTTATGGCTAAGAAGTTTTCATGACTGTGCCCCTTGTGTATTCTGTTGTATACGTGAATATGTTTGCAGTACATATAGTTGGGTATGTAGAAATGGCTACTGCCAAACTTATTTATGTCCATGGGTGTACTCCCCTACTCCATCCCACACAGTAGTAACAGAGGAAGAAGGAGAGTCAGGAACAGGAGTATGGAATGTGTGGCTAATTGCCTCCATGAATAACTGTCTCCTTTGCTATGAGACCAGAAGAACTGGATGGTGCCTGGCTACTGTTACTGAACATTTTGATCAAACCTTCCATAGAAGAATCCTGATCAAAAGGGGAGAATGAAGAACAGAATTTCAAATTTTCATGGACTCTAGACTTGCTGAAGCCATGGAGGTTAGATGAACCCTTAAAACGATTACCCTGAGATAATCTTTAAGTCTTCTTAAAACCAAGCAAGAGTTTAACTTAACTAGTAAATAATGTCTGCCATGAGCATTATGCTCTTTTAAGAGCTATCTATATGATATCAAATTGATAACTGCAATGAGAAAGATTAGATAGGAACCTTAGAGGGCAGTGAGTTTATGTTAACAAGGGAAGAAAACTCAGAAAAAGAGGGTGAGAATGGTTATATAACTCCAAGAATGTACTCAATGTCACTGAATTGCACATGTAGAAACTGTTGAATTGGTGTGTGTTTTGCTGTGTATATTCTCAACAACAACAAAATAAAATTTTGGGGTAAAAATCTGAGGAAGGAAAAGGACAGAGAGAAGAGGTCTAAACTCACTGCTGCTCACCCATTTAGATGATAAATAATAACAACAACTTCTCAGCTGCCTTGCATTGAGCTAAGCCCTTTAGTGGCATTATTTTTATCCTCAGTAATTCTGGAAAATGAGTGTTTTAATTCTCAATTTATAGATGAGAAAACTGAGGCTTAGAGAAGTAACTGGTTCAAGGTCACACAATTATGGAATTCAGGACTAACAGTCCCAAAAGAGATTTATCTCTTGAAGGAATCTCTGTGCATAGAGTTGAGTGGAAGAAAACCAAAGTTGCCATTAACGAATGCATAATAAAGACAAGCGAAAAGTCTTAAGGGCAACATGAAGCATTAACTATGTTCCATCCAACTTTGAGAAATGAGTTAATGATATTTTATCTCAGTCATTCAACTCTTAGGTTTCAATGCTATGTTTCAATATATATACAATAAATGTTACCTATGAGTTACTTCAAATCCAAGACAAAAACAGGTTTAATTGAGAGAAAAAAAAGGTCCATAGCATTTTCACGAGGGAGAATGGACCTGTTGAAAAGGCAGGCCCTTCAACACAAGTGGGGTGTCTCCTCCAGTGGGTTCCATTCCACATGCTTTGGTAGACATGAGGTTGCAAAATAATGGTGTTTAAAATGATACAGGTATACCTTTCCATAACATTTTATAGCATTTTTCTCTGATTATAGAAATAATATATGTATACATTATTGGGAAATTTAGGTAAAATAAATAAAAGAAAATAAAGGATTATGTAAACCTTAATATCACCACCCTAAGTTAATTTCTATTAACATTTTGGTCCATTTCACTCCTGCCATTTTTAGTTGCATGCATTTTTTTTTTTTTTTTTCAGCATCTACAGAGTTCTCTAGGGCTGTGCTTCTTGAACTAAGCAGGCGTAAGAGTTATGACATAAGTTTGTTAAAACAGTTTCCTGGGCTAAAACCAGAGATGATGGATGATTCAGTAAGTCAGGGTGGAAACTAGTCATGTATTTCTAACAAGTTCCCAGGGAATACTGATGCTGCTGGTCTAAAAACCTAACCTTGAGTAGCAAGGATCTAGCACAGGGGCCTATGAATAATCTTCAGAGGGTCCACACGCTCCTAGAAATTACCTACAAAAGTGTGTTACTGGTGTGTACATATATGCATGTCTGCTTAAGGAGAGAGTCCATAAGTTTCACCAAACTCTCAAAGGTACATGTGAGTGCCCCAGAGTTAAGATCCCTGCTACACAGTGACCTTGTGTCCTGCCTGAAGGTGACCTCAATCTCCAGAGAACGTTCTTGATTCCCCAAACCATACTAAGGATGACATTCTGTTAGCCACTCCTCGGAAGGATGGTTGGGCAATCTACTTCTGTAGATACTGCCTCAGAAACCCAAGGAGGGGTCGCTATGAGTTGGAAATGACTCGATGGCCGTGAATGAGTTAGTTAGTCAGTTCTCAAAGGATAGAGCTCTCTCTGGGGACTGCTCTGACCTGCAGTCTAAACATGAGGGTTTAATGGCTCTGCTGAGCTTTCTGAACCACATCCTGAATGCTGATGAGTACACCAAGAAGGACACGAGACAGTGGAGCAAAATCCAACACATTGCAGCAATCACTTACCTGAAGGAGATACTCAAGCTTATAAGAAAACTTATGCAAGCTGCTGCTGTCATCTGTGATGGGCTCCCCTGCTTCTTTAAATTCCTTACTTAGTTCTGTCACGGCATCTTTAAAACAAATATGAACATATAACCAGAAGGAAGGTGACCTCAGAAAGAGAAATAGGGAAAAACCCCGCAAGCTAGAGGAGTAAGTGGTCAAGGACAGCAAAGCATCTCTGAAATGCAAAGTTATATGTAAATGTCTATGGAATACAACTCTTAGTAAGAGATGATTAAAATGCGTTGGAAGCCCAGAGGCACTTTACCACATCCTGACTGGACAAGTATCTTGGTCATCCCTGTATGCCACCACCTAGACTTCGTAATCTGCATGCAATAGTTGATCAATAAATATTTCCTGTGTGGATGAATCACTGAGCAGTCCCCTAATACTGACTTCCAGAAAGCTTCATGCTTAATTCAGGCCATGTTTCTTATTATTCTTCACTATACCCCTACTGAATCCAGGCTTTAAGAAAAGCCAGTATGTGCAAAGAATTATAATGATAATGACAATCTCAACAATATCCAGGCCTTTACATGTATTTCTTATTTGATACAGCACTGGGAAGCAGAGGCTGCCTTGTTTTAACAAGTCTAAGATGCAACTGCTTTTAAGACGCAGCCCAATTTCAGACCTGTTAAAATGTTTTAAGGAGGGGGAAGCGGGGAAGAAGTATAGCTTAGAATCAATGAACTCTGGTATCATCACCCCGGTTTTATAGATGAGGAATGCACAAAGAGGGCAGAGCACTTGGTCAAGGATCCTGTGTAGTGAGCAGCAGAGCTGGAATAGAACCCCAGTTTCTCAAGGTCCTTCTCACCCCAGAACCCACCTCGTGATGTCTAAGGGGCAAAAAAGGGAAAAGCCCCCTTTTGACCCTAACTCACTACCTCTGCTTTGAAACACAGAATTTGTCAGAAGCTGGATTTTTGATACTGAGAAAAACTCCCCAGCTGAGATGGCTGGAACATGCTGCACAGAAACTATTTTCTCTGACTTTTTTTTTTTTTTTAAAAAAAAAAAAGAGAAATCCTAAGCCCCTCCTCCTAAGCAGCTTGGTTTGAAAGCAGACCTGCCCAGAAATGAAGCTGAGCCCCAGCTGGCTGAACATTTAATTAGCACTGACCCATCGGGCAAAGGTCAGCAAATGGCACAGCCAGGTTGTTGGGACAGATTCTTAAAATAAGTGGCTGGTGCTGAGTTGTGCCTGGCTAGAAGAGAGCTAGAGGAACAGGGCCCTGGGAATAACATACAGCTTTCCTTCTCTGTCTTCAGGCATGGGTAAATGTGCACAACCAATGTTCCATTGATCTGGAATCTTATAATACTTAGAAAGAAGGGGCCCTTGGGTATGAAATGTGAAATTTTCAGCTCTGATCGCTGACGATCTAAATGTATTATTTATTAATAATATTAGAATTATGCTAATCATATCTTATATGAATGATATCTTATATGAATCATTATCAGATCCTGAGAAGTGGGTGTTATCATCAAACCCAGTGGCATACAAAGGAAGGAAGTGCACCTTAGAAAAGCGAAGAGACTTGTCCAAGATGTTCCAGGGTTAAGAGGCAGAGGCAGGAGCTGACCCCAAGCTTGCCTGACTCCAAAGCCCCTTGTAACGAGTGTCACTGGGAAGATAAGTGAGCTGCCCCACACAGGTGTGAAGGCTTTATACTGCCCAAGGACACCTCAGGTAGGAATGCACCATTCTCATGAAGGATGCTGTGGACTTGTATCGTTATTATGACCATGACCCTGACCAACAGATGAAAATAAAGCGTCTTGAGAAAAGGATGCCTTTTAAAAATTCCCATCATAGTGCTCTGTGGGCTGGGTATGAGGAAATGAGATTGCCCCAGGATGTCAGAGATGATCAGATCCAACCACTACCCAGGGTAGAAAATGGTAAGTGAACAAATGTGAAAGCTTTCCTTTGTCTTCTCCAGGGCATGGTTCAGCCCCTCCTGCTCATCTGCAACCTGATCAGGAGCTCTACCAGAGGGCCATCTCTTCCCTTTCAATAAGGAGACTCTGGGCAAGAACTTCTCCAAGTTACCCTTGAGAACCAGGGACTGAAACACAGATGAGGTTGTCTATTTTGTAGAGAAACCTCTGAAGGCCAGTGGCAAACTCTGATTGATAGGGGCGGTCATTTTTAGTTTCCTTGCCTCTCTATGTAGAGTGAAAAAAGAAAAGTCCTTAATATTTTAGCTGGATGTAGACTAGGGTAGTTAAGAGCACAGACTTTGGCTCTAGACTGCTGATTCAAACTCGGGCTCTGCCACTGACTGGCAAGTGACTTAACCTCTCTGTCCATCTCCTCATCTGCAAAATGAAGCTAACAATGGCACCTCCCTCACAGGACCAAAAGTGAAGACTCAATGAGTTACTACCCATAAGACGTGTAGAATAGTGCCTGGCACACATGAAATGCCATGAAATTACTGACTATTGGAGTGAAAAACACTACTGATAGGAGATAACAAGCCTCAGAAAGTGATTTTTATCGCTGACCTTCAGAGCAAGGACCGAATTCTGATCTCCCATAGGCCAAAGACCCTCAGAATGAGAGATGGCTGTTGGTCATCCCTATGCCTGAGTAGGTATCAACCCAGGCCTTCAGACTTCCAGCAAAGTGTCATATAAACTATGCAGGTATGGAAAAAGTGGTCAGCTTTGCAATGTGTTAGTTATAATGCAAGTGCTAGAGTTCCAAAGAGGATCCCAAGACCAGCCCTGGTGATCTATGGGGAATGGAACCTGCCAAAATTCTGACCCTCGGCCAGCATCTGAAAGGAAGAAATCCTAGACTTTGGAGAAAGCAGCTGATTCCTCCTGCATCTATTAAATTTTATCCGCACCTACCCGTGCCTGCCTTTCTCCAACTAGACAAAGGCTACAAGTCAGAGTTTCTCTCACGGGAGAACACTGTGTGCAGGCAAGTCTGGGAGGCAGCAGGCCCAGAACTGGAGTGTCTCACAGGCAACAGGCCGTCCGCCAGTCAGGAGCAGGTTGTTGTTGTTGTTATGTGCCGTTGAGTCAGCCCTGACTCATAGCGACCCCTCCTTGGGTTTCCGAGGCAGTATCACTATGGAAGTAGGATTGCCCAACCTTCCTTCCGAGGAGTGGCTGGTGGGTTTGAACCACCAGCCTTCTGGTTAGCAGTCAAGTGCCTTAGCCACTATGCTACCAGAGTCAGGAGCAGGTAGGACAGCAAAACAAGTCAGACGAGTATCTGGCCTTCCTGCTCTGAGGAGGGAGAATATTCATCCCCAATAAGCCAACTATCGGAGCCCAGAGGCTTATGATTCAACCAAAGACTTCACACATAGTGAAAATAAACACACACACACACACACACACACACACTGAAATCAGACCCCATCCGGGAGAAGGGTATTTGGTTTTGTTTACAAACTAACTTTACAGTGGCCTGAGAGGAGGAGCACAGTGAGCTCTCCCCGCCTCACCCAGGGTCGAAATCTGAGCCTCAAATATTTCAATATGATGTGTGCTGAGAGCTCCAGTTACTCCCAGAGCAAACAAGGATGAAAGGGCTAAATTTCAGCTGGCAATGGAAAAAGCACAGCCACAGCTCCCTCAAGATCAAACTTGGTGTGCCCCAGGACCTAAGTGTACCTTGCAAATCATGGATAATTCTCTGGAGCTGGCTCTCTGCACTGGTGGAAGCCATGGTGAGTGGTTGCAGTTCTTGGCTGGGTGCCTCCTGCTTGAGTCCAGAGAAAAGCTTAGAACTTCAGCCCTCTGTGGCTGTCCAGTCGGTAGAGGTCAGACTCCATTGTGGCACCTGTGTGGGGGAGAGGTAGCCATAGGAGAAGCTACAACAGATGAAATTTAAAGGCGGTGTTAGAGGAGCTCTGCTCTGGGCACAAAATCGCCCCATCTGGGCATCTTCCTGCAACTGGAAGGCCTTGACCTTTCTGTGTGGGCCTTGCTCTGTGGGTCTTCTCTGGTTTGATCTGACACTCACATTCTGACATAATGACCTGATTTAGGGCTTAAAAAGAAATAAGAACAACTAAATAGCAAGGCCTATTCTTCCTGAGACTCCCATTCATTCTGTTCTCTTACGGAAAGTAAGGACTGCCTTACTTTCCATACTTAAAAAAGCTCCTCCCATCCCTTATACCGAAGGCTGGAAGTAGCTCAACACTGATTCTGGCTGGACCCTTCATTCAACCACGCTAAGCCAAAGGCATCAGCTACCACCTAATCCCTAACTCCCATATTCCAGCCCTACCTTCTCCTCAGACTCCTTTTTTTTGAGGAATGATCAGTAATTTCTGGCCAGGCAGCACTGGGGATGTGAGGTTGAAGACACATACCCTCAGGCCTGTTGCACCAAGGAGAGCTGGGCTTGTTGGCAGGGGGAGCAGCTCCCTGGTCGGAATGTCTGCTAGCCTCCAGCTGCCCAGAGTCCGGGTGTTCAGACCTTGCCTGGCCTGCTACCCAGGGCCCTGCGCAGCCTCTGGTACACTAGTCAAGGGACACATCTCTATTTTAAGCTCAGTTACAGTCCTCTTGCGGCCGCTGAGTCCTGAGTAACCAGCCCTACTTGGGCAGCTGTTGAAGTGATTTAAGGACACAGCAGTCACTGGAAATCAACAAAGGTGAGATCTGAGCATCACTGCAAAGAGGGCTGGACATGCATTTGTACACTCCTGTGTCCTTCTTTCAGAACCTCTAATTCTTCCCTCTGACATCTAACACAATGTCATGTATGCTGCCAAAAGTAGACAGTAAGACCAGAGACATCTGTAGTAGTAGCTGCCACTAAGCGAAAGCCTACTGTGTGCCTGCCCTGTTAGATGCTTGATGCCGTTTCATTCTCACAATCACCTGTGTATGTGTGTGTGTGTGTGTGTGCGCGCGCGCGCGCGTTGGGGGGAGGGGGATACATAATGTCATCTCTGCTTACAAAGAATAAATTTACATTCTGAGAAGTCACATGACTGCTACCAGCCAGTAAAGGGTAAAATGTGACTTCAATTCTGGTAAGCCTGCTATCAAACTTTGTGGTTTTCCCAGTATGCCCTGCTGATTCTTTATGACTAAGCCATTGTTGCTACAGCAAATGACCAACCATAACCACTTGCCTCTAGGTTCTATCCTGAACTCCAGCTTCTCCCAAATAAGGTGTCACCACCCTGAGTGGTGTGCTGGCCCTCACTCTCCCACTGCTGTCTTCCCTTGGCTGCTCCAGGAGTCAAGGCAGGAGACTCTGGAATGGAACTGGTCCCCAACCTCAGCCTCCTCCAATTATTTACATAAGCATTCCAGCATTAGCCTGAGGAGAAAAGGCTTGGCACATGGCAAATACACCTATAGCCTATTGTTGTTGTTGTTATGTGCCGTCGAGTCGGACCCAACTCATAGTGACCCCTCCTTGGGTTTCTGAGGCATATCACTACAGAAGTAAATTGCCCCATCTTCCTTCTGAGGAGTGGCTGGTGGGTTTGAATTGCCAGCCTTTTGGTTAGCAGTCAAGTGCCTGAGGCATTACGCTAAGCCACTGTAGCTCTGACTTATTGCAAACAAGGCCAGTAGAGGGCTTGTCCAGCGGAGGAGGAAAGAGACAGATACCAGTACTATCCTCCAGTAGGTCAGGGCCCAAAGTTGAGACTCAGAAGATCCACACCGCACCCCAAGGGCTCTCTAACAAATGCTGGTAGCCAGTCCATAATGGCCACCATATTGAGTGCAGGAGCAGTTTACCAGAAGCCAGCCTGCCCATCCCTAGGCTTCTCTCTAGATGGTCTCCTGAACACAGAGGCTGTGCAGGGACCAGCCAGGGCCCCAGAGAGAGCCAGAGCCCCAGGCTTAGCCTAGTATCTGTTGGGAAGGCCTCTGCTACCCAAGCAGACACTTCACCAATGAAGCAGAGAGGATCAAGGACCTCACTATCAATGCATAGGTTCCTCAGCACCCATATTTCATCAAGTACATACTACGGGCAGGGTGAAGAAACGGACGCACACAAGGCATAGCCCAGTCCTCATGGGGCTCAGCTGTCTGCCAAGGAGACAAGCAGAAAACTTAATATCCAGATAGCACTGAATAGGCCCATGAAGAGACATGGATAAAACATTATGGTCATTCAGTAATGAACATGAACAATCCTTCAACACACACAATAACATGGATGAACCGCAATGGCATTATGCCAAGTGAAAGCCATCAGACTTAAAAGGCTACACACATAATTCCACTTATATGATACTCTTACAACTATTAGGAGAGAAATCAGATTAGTAGCTGCTAGAGCTAAGGGTGAGGGGAGAGTTTAACTACAAAGGGGCTAGGGTGGAAGGGGTAATAGAACTTGTCATGGATTGTACTGTGTCCCCAAAAAATACATGTCAACTTGCCTGGGCCACAATGCTCAGTGATTTGGCAGTTATGTAATGATGGAATCATCCCCCATTATGTGATGTGATGGGATCAGCCAATCAGCTGTAAGGGGATTAGAGTGGGATGCAACACTCTTACTTAGGTCACAGCCCTGATCCATGTCAGGGGAGTTTCTCTGGGGTGTGGCCTGTACCACCTTTTACCCTACAAGCATGGAAGAAGAAAACAGAGAAAGAAGGACTTCAGTACCACCAAGAAAGAGCCAGGAGCAGAACATGTCCTTTGGCTCTGGGGTATCTGCACTGAAAAGCTCCTAGACCCAGAAGAAGACTGATACTAAGACACATGGAGATCTCCAAGGAACACTGGGCCCACAGATGTTGAAAGGAGACAAGAACCTTCCCCTAGGGCCAACAGAGAGAGAAAAATCCTTCCCCTAGAGCTAATACCCAGAATTCAGACTTTTAACCTACCAAACTATGAGAGAATAAATTTCTTTCCACTTGTGGTACTTCTGTTCTAACAGCACTAGATAACCAAGACAGAACTATTGTGTATCTTGATTACGATGGAAGTTGTTATTATTAGTTGCTGTCAAATTGATTCTCATTCATGAAGTCTCCATGTGTGTCAGAGCAGAACTGCTCTACAGGGTTTTCAAGACTGTGACCCTTCAGAAGCAGATGGCCAGGCCATCCTTCTGAGGCACCTCAGGTAGGTAGAACTGTCAACTCTTCAGTTAGTAGTAAAGTGCTTAACCATTTATAGCACCCATGGTTACATAACTATACATGGTCAAAATTCACACAGGTGAATTTTACTGTACATAAATTATACTTCCAAGAAAAGCAGCAATGTGATGAATTTTAAAAAATGCAATGGAAAATAAGAAGGGAAAATTAATCCTGCCTGGGGGAGGAAAATGGTGGTAGGCACACTGCAAAGGCAACTGAGTTGGGCCAGGCCTGAAAAATGAATAGGAGGTCACTGAAGAGACCAATGAGGAAAGGGTGCACTGAGTGGAGGGCATAGCAGAAGTGAAGGCTGTTCCTCTGCCAGCATTCCTCTCATTTGGCTGTTGTCAACACAGAGGTCCTGGGAGCTTCTGGGAGAAATAATCATGGAAGACAACGACGGCCTCAACTGAGGCCCACTGAGCCTGTGTGTACACTTAAAACTGGGGGATGAGACTCAAAGATGGGAGGAGTTTGGCAATAACAACAACAGAGTCTGAGTGACTCATCCAGGTCCCAGCTGGAACAATGCACAAACATATAAGCAGCTGGCTAGATGTTCTGGAAATCAGCCCTGCTGCAGAGTCTAACACACAGGAAGTGAGTCTAACATCTGGATCTTGGCACAATGAATTCAAACACAGAAACATGCTCTTTGAGATTTCTCAGAATGTTGGTGAACATCCTGAGCCCAGGAGGCTTTTTACAGCTGATCCTCAGGGTGCTCAGCTGGTGCCAAGTTCCCATTGATTATAAAAGCTAATTTTCCAGAGTCTGTGTCACCACCCGGGAATAAGCCCTAAAAAACTGACCACAGGGCCAGTATGTCACATTGTTACGGTAGGCCTCCCCACCATGGCTCTAGGTTGTCACCTGCCAGTGTTCTTGGAAGTAAACTAAAGTTTCTTTGGGAGACCATGGTCACCACCAGCACCAGTTGCCATTGTTGTTGTTGTTGTTAGGTGCCATTGAGTCAGACCAAACTCATAGCGACCCCTCCTTGGGTTTGTGAGGCAGTATCACTACAGAAGTAGATTGCTCAACCTTCCTTCCGAGGAGTAGCTGGTGGGTTTGAACTGTCAGCCTTCTGGTTAGCAGTCAAGTTGCCACTGAGTCAACTCCAACTCATGGTGACTCCACATGAGTCAGAGTAGAACTATGCTCTGTAGAGTTTTCAGTAGCTGATTTTTCAGAAGTGGATCACCAGGCCTTTCTTCTGAGGCACCTCTGAGGGACTCAAATGCCCAACCTTTCAGTTAGCAGCCACGCATGTTAACTATTTGCACCACTCAGGGACTCCGCAAGAGTACTATTTTCGTGGGCTTGGAAGCATTGCCAACTCTTTGCATCTTGCCCCTCCCTCCTCTTTGGTTGAGGGATCACAGTCTTCTGGCATGAAAGAGTCTGATCCTGACATCTACAACCCATTGGTGAACTGCTCCTCTCACTTCAGAGACACTCCAAGAAAGCTTCTGTCTACAAGGCATAGCTGCTTCAGCACCTGGGAAGGACTCAGAGCTCCGACACCTCCATGGCCCAAAAAGTGCAAATTACCTCTGTGAATCCCACATCCTTGTACAATAATATA